TTTTGTTTTACAAATATTTTGGATTTAAAGCAGACAGAAGCACATCAACACTTAAATCTCATTAAAGCCTTGTTATAATCCTTCTTAGCTATAATAACTGAATGGGGGCTCAGGAACAGCCCGACTGGATCTCCGACTAAAATTTCTGACCTTTTGAATCCTGCAGGTGTCTACATGTGATGGGAACCAGAAGGATACTCTGGATAAAATATAGAATGCAAATATAAAACAATCCTGAGTGAAACTTTTCGGGATTTCAGGTCGAGGTGAAGGTTTATGTTCAATAAAGGCAACAGTCTAAATCAGACGGCCAAGAAAACATCAAGGATTCTCCACGAAAAGCCAGAGACAAATGCGAAGCACGTCTAGAAAATCAGCCAAGCACGATGCTTCCCGTTTTTCATGGGAGAGTTTCTGCAGAAAAAGGTTTGTCAGGTTCAGCGTGGTTCTCAGGACGACAGTCGGTTCTCCCGAAGGTTCTCTGAGAGTTTAAACAATCGGTCTGATTATTCTTCAGAACTCTGCACCGCGACCCACAGCGGGGTGTGGAGCAGGTCTCGGATCTAGAGTAAAATCCTGCGTTGAGTTTGAGACAGATGTTGGACATAGGGAGTGTTTTATTTACATCAATCAGAGAATAAACGCCCCAGTAAAGACCACACAACACAGATGAGCCAGGGCACATCTGAACTTGTTCGTCGTTTCTTCCAGGTTTTTCTTTGGTTTGCTCTTCCTCTTAAACTCTGACCTCAAACAGCAGCTCAATGAAGAATTCCCGATGCCGCTTCCACATCTGACAGAATAAAATAACCCGTCCTCCAGCTCTAAACGTCCCATTTAAACACGCGTCTGTAGAATGCAGAGGGTGTTTCTGTCCTCCGGAGTGTGTCACCAGCTGGTTGGGATTACTGGGAAACCCTGCCTGCTCTCTAATCGGCCCTGATTGATTGATTGAGCTGCTTCAGACTCATTCCTTTTGCAGGTTTGTCTTCATATGAGTTGGCTGAACGTAACTTGAGGCAAGTCGGAACCTGTTTGTGAAACAATAAAACATATTTTTGCGTGTCTCTTGTGCTTACATCATTGTGTCTCCTGGTAAATTTAAGTTGATCCTCGCAGATATCTCTCATCGTTCTCCATCTCCATCTGGTTGTCCAACACCAGGTGTGTCAGGAGGCCGCGTGATGACTCTCCTCCATCATTAAAGGTGCTGACAGCTCGCTGCGACGTCTCGATGACTGAATGTTCTCCAGTTAAACATATTTATGCCAGATTTTTTTTTTTTTTTTGCGCCTGTGTGAAAAGGTCCTCTGTCTGCTTGTAACGGCTGCTCTCAGGGTCACAGAGTTGTTATTGTCTGGAGACACGGGGATCGTCAGTTTGGCGTGCCGGCTGATTCCGTCGGATGGACCTTGTGCTCTGCTGAAGCACATGTTTCCGTCTCTAACGGTTATTCTGTTTTACCTGGCAGACATCCAGGTGTAAGGTGTGTTCTGTTTGCTGCCTCATTAGTTTCCATTGGTTGACTTTTATTTTCCTCTTTTTCGCGAAGCTTCCTGGAGTCGTGTCACCTGGTCGGTTAAATTCAACACACAAACGTTACCAACCAATCCAAACAGGAGCAAGTAGCCAGCTTCTCTCTGATTGGCTTATTTGAACCTTTCAGTGAAAGTTAAAGAAGTTATTATTTTTCCTCTCGTCCTCACATCGTGACTTTTAAAGCTCAGCGGGTCGCCGCTTCTTTAGGGGGGTTTCTGGTTTTTCTCCTTGTGATTTTGTTGAACGTTCAGACTGACGTTTGTGGCGCACAGGCGAGAAACTCTGCCTCCGATCAAGCTTAAGTGTTTCTGTTTGGGAGCGGAGGCCCAACCTCGAGGCTTTCTGTTACCCTTCAGTCATGAAACATAAATCAGTCGGCTCTAAAACTTGGCAGCGAGGATACAGGCTGTAAAATCACATCACAGCGTTTACTCAGCAATGAGCTCGACAGCGTGGTAACAGACAGCTCCCCTGAGTGAGTGAGTGTGTGTGTGTGTGTGTGTGATAAAATGAGGGACATTTTCACTAATTCCTTCTCCATGATTAAACACATCAGTCTCTCCTGGTTATTCTGTCATCTCTGTCTTGTCCAGATCCCAATCTCCAGATTTCACCAACCTTTTTTTCTTATGAATCAGCAGGAATGTGAGGAATGACCTGCACGAGGCTGGGCTCTTTCTGCCCATTTTTAGTCAACTCCAAGCCTCCTGTTTTATTTCCTTCTCCTACACATTGTCATCACAAGCCCACAGTTCTTCAGTTTTCTCCTAATGCATCTTCCAGCCATCTCCGAGGTTCATTTCTTTAATTTTTACTCAGCTCAGCACTTTAAAATTCCACAAATTACAGCGTATCATCGAGTACTTCTGAACCGTCGGAGCTCTTGTTGCATATTTGGTCAAACCACAGCGAGGCCTCAAATCCGCTGGCCCTCTTCATGTCTTACAAATTGACCCTCCTCCATTGCTTCATTTGTCTCTGGTCCCAACTGCGGGGCACTTCAGAACCCCTCTTTTTAACCAATCACGACGCAGCTCTTTAGTAGAGTGCAGTTGGCAAATGCAGATACGTGCCTCGACTCAGCAGCTTTTGACTATAACTCAAAGTGTGTAAAAGTGTATAACCCAGCCGTTTGTCTCTGCATGTGGTGACAGGTTACTGCTGTCGATTCAAGCAAAGATCATTCTCCCGTATGACACGAGAGGGGCTCCCACTCCTTCCCCTGGTGATGAAAGCGTTCATCTGCATCTGTCTGCAGGTGTTCTTTGTACACACTTTAATTACCCCTCTTTTACCTGAAAAAGAACACCGTTTAGCTAATAGTCACTCAGAGCGACGACGGAGCTAGGCGGGTGTCTGAAGTGCTCCACTTCAACGTCTGAATCTGCAGCCGAGCTCCTGCTGGAGACGAGAAGACACCTAAATGTCAGGTTGAGCTTCGGAGCTTCGGAACAGCTGCTGCTGCGTCTTCACCAGACTCTTCAACCTCTCACTGGAACAGGCAGCCATCCCGTCCTGTCTAAAATCAGCCACAATCTTCCCAGTACCGAAGAAGTCTCCCATCTCCAGCTTAAATGATTACCGCCCTGTGGCCCTCACACCGGTAATCATGAAATGCTTTGAGAGACTACTCCTTCAGCACATAAAGAATCACCTCCCCCCAGAATTCGACCCCCACCAGTTTGCATACCGTGCAAACAGATCCACAGAAGACGCCATCGCCACAGCCCTCCACGCTGTGCTGAGTCACCTAGAGCAGCGGCAGAGCTATGTCCGAATGCTCTTTGTGGACTACAGCTCAGCCTTTAATACAGTTATCCCGGACATCCCCATCAACAAACTGGTCACTCTTGGCCTCCCTCCTCTCACATGTGCCTTGATAAAGGATTTCCTCACAAACCGGCCCCAGACTGTGAGACTCGGCCCTCATCTCTTCTCCACTCGCACACTGAGCACCGGCTCCCCACAGGGCTGTGTGCTGAGCCCCCTCCTGTATTCTCTGTACACCCACGACTGCAGTCCGACCCACAATAACACTCTCATCATCAAGTTTGCTGATGACACCACGGTAGTCGGACTCATTTCGAAGGGAGACGAGGCAGAGTACAGAGAGGAAGTCCTGAAGTTGGCAGCATGGTGTTCAGAACACAACCTGTCCCTGAACACCAAGAAAACCAAAGAGTTCATTGTCGACTTCAGGAGACACAGCACCGACTTGGCCCCCCTCTACATCAACGGGGAGTGTGTGGAGAGGGTCCACACCTTCCGGTTCCTTGGTGTCCTCATCTCTGCTGAAATCTCCTGGTCGGAAAACATCTCAGCGGTCATCAAGAAGGCCCAACAGCGGCTGCACTTCCTGAGAGTCCTCAGGAAGTACAAACTGAACTCCGACCTGCGGCTGACCTTCTACCGCTCGCCCATTGAGAGCCTGCTAACCTACTGCATCACGGTATGGTACGGCAGCTGCACCAAGGCGGATAGAGTGAGGCTTGAGAGTGTGGTAAAGACAGCACAGGAGATCATCGGCTGTCCTCTCCCCTCCATGATGGACATTTATTCCTCCCGCTGCCTCAGTAGGGCAACAAACATCATCAAGGACAGCTCCCACCCTGGCTTCAACATGTTCAGACTGCTTCCCTCAGGGAAGCGCTACAGATGCATTAATACAAAAACCCACAGACTCAAAAACAGTTTCTTCCCCAAAGCAATAACCACCCTGAACTCACGCATGCACCGATAACACAGCCCCCCACTTCCCACTTCCTCCATTGACCACCACTATCTATTGATACCAGATTCCATGTGCAATAATTGTATATGCATAACATTACTGTCCATATGTACATAGAGCTGCAGAACTGTAACAATACTGTGCAATAATTTGTATATAACACTTACTTTCCATATGTACATAGCGCTGCAGAACTGTACCCCCCCCCCCCCCCCCCCGAGTATGTTTGTTTTACACTGAGTAGGAGATGCTCTGTATCTCACTTTACACCTGTATAGTGACAATAAAGGCATTCTATTCTATTCTCACCCACATCTCGTCATCTCATTAGGGAAGTTGCATCACTCATCATCAGCTTGTAAACCATCTGTCTGCCCTGCTGACCCGTGAACTAACAGACACACATGCAAGAAAAAGGCCAGGATGTTTAGTTCTGTCATATTAGAGGTAAAGAAAAGCTGGAATATTCTGTTTTCCCTGAACGGAAGTTCATGCAAACAAGGATTTAGAAGATAGAATTGAAGGTGGTTGGATTTAGATTTTACACCAAAAACAGGCTTCTGCCTGTTTCTGTTTAGTTCTCATTTCCTCAGTTTCACCAAGACTCTGGTAAATCATGCAAATGTAAGTTACAAAGTCTCTGGTGTTTGCAAGGCAAATCAGAGCGATAGCACTTTTATTGCCCTGGTATCCATCGTCACACTCTGCTTTTCCTGTCTCCTTCTAACAGCTGGATGGAACCGTGGATCTGGATGAGAGACGCCTCATCCGTTCAGCCATCCGGGAGCTCAGGAGGAGGGAGATCGAGGACATGGAGGCCGCCCTCGCCAGCAAGAGGTTTCGACCAACACGCCTCAATCAGCAGGAGGACAAAGAGAACCAGCACAGGTGAGGCACAGTTCTCCAAACTAACTAGATCCCAGATGCTGAATGACTCGGCTTCAGGTGGAAAAGTCTGATAATGTTGAAGTGGAAAAACTGCAGCTCCAATAAATTGCCCAGTTTCAAGTTCAGTTGCCTTTGGTTTATCTTTCAAAACCTTCTGAGTATTTTTCCAGCTCATAAATAAACGATTCCCGCCTCTCGTCATGCAGCCCAGGAATGTAGATAAACCGATAACTCAGCTGTCATCCAACACAACCTCATTATTTTGTCTGTAAACACGTTTATGCTGGTTATGTTAATGACAATCAGGTCAAAAAGTCCTGAAGTTTCCCGTGAAAGTCATTTTTTGACTAAACATTCTGATATTTCAAAATAAAAATGCTCATCCAGCGTGTTTTTTAAATGTGGTATTCAGAAATCTGTAAAGCTTGCTCAGATTTCAACTTCTGCTCTGATTTATTGATCTTTCCATTTCTTTCAAACTTATTTAATTTAAAAATTAAAGCATATACATTAAACATAAACATAACATTTAAATGCTCCAAACTTCCTCTTTCATCAGCGATCTCTGGTGCCTTATTGTAGGTGTTAGTTTAAACTCAAAGCTCCACAGCAGAATCCCGGGATGCTGTTTGGATTTGATGTCAGGATTATCTGCTTCTGTTCCCATTTTCTGCCTCTGAATCCTCATAAGAACAGCGGCAAGGCCTAATAATCGTTCCCAGTCACCTCTTTTCTCAGATGACTTGAGTTACAAAAACAATAGAGGTGCCTGGCTGGAGCTGCTAAACAAATCCTACCATCTGTTGCACATCCGAGTGAGTACCCACACTTCGCTTTCACGCGCCTTTTAGCAGTGGAATGTGAAGCATTCCAATCTCACCCTGCTGTTAAAACCAGGTAATGAAGGAAAAACCAGGATAACGAGGGAACTAAAGGAGCGTGCGAGTAAATCAAGCAGAGAAATGAAGACATGCGAGACTGGAAGAAACGAGGATGAGAGCAGGCTTTATTATTCAGATTTGTGTCATTGCTCTCAAATCTCCACATATCACTCCTTCCATACTCTGTTTTTGCTGACATGAATGGAGGTTTCAGATGAGGGTCCGGCTAGGCCCCAGTTATGATATTGGAATTCGTCCCATTTGGAATGAAAGCTTCTCTTCTGGTTTCCTCAGATCCGAATCCAGCGATAAATTAGACGTCCTTTCACGAAAACTTCAGACGATCCAGGACACTGAAGAGCTCACAAAAATGGTGAGTTTTTATAGATCATTTATGTTACCATTTCTTTCATTTCACTTTATTTAATTCATGTATTTCATGATCTTGTAGCTCCGCTCTGCTACAGAGTACGAGGAGAGGAAGGTGATCCGGGCAGCCATCAGACAGATCCGAGATGAGCAGCTGCAAGGTGAGCTGGGATTTGGCCATCACAGCTTGTTAAATGATGATCAGTTTTGCATTGGGGTGAACCATTCGTCTTAAAAATGCAAATGATCAACATGACTCGTCTGGAGGACAGTATCTTTTTGGGACTGAGCACTGACGCAGTTTGACCTGATGAGGGCGTTAAAATAAAGGTTAAACTTTCTTTTCTCCTGCTTTGAAAGGAAAAGTAAGACATCATGACTGTGTCGCCTAAAATGCAGGTAAACACGCCTGTCTGTTGCTATGGTTACTATAGAAATTCAATCTCCTGTACAATCTATGATCAAGTCATGGATTCCTGTCATTCCTTACCGCTGTCGGGTATTCATGATGCCCCCCTCTGAGTCCGAGGCCCCGGGATGCATGAACACACTTAAACAACACGGGTCACGTCAGGACAGACTTGCACGATGCTGTCACCTTTTTCATTTGAATTATTGTGTTGCCGTGTGTTTTTAGGTGCAGCGGAGAAGAGCAAAATTTCCTCTTGCTCCGTAGAGGCGGAGATTGCGGAGCCCCAGGCCAACATGGGAACTGTGGTGAGTGCTGCCGTGTTAATTGAGCAATCAGTGCTGATTGTGAAAGAAACGGAGCTGACACAGTCCTAGGATCGCATGTTGGGCAAGATGTCTTGAGATGTCAGCTCCTATTGACAGAAGCCAGCCGGGGGCAGAGCTGGTTTGCGTTTCGACACTGACCACATCGGTTTCTGCGTCGCCGCAGAGAAGAATGCAACAAACAACAATAACAACCGGCTTTGTCGCTTGAATTACGGCTGTGGCCGCGGCAGGCGTGTGCACAAACACACAATAAATACATGCCACAGCGTCAGGAATGTGTTTGTTCCTCACATCCTCCTGTAGGTTTGACCAAAATATGAAGAAAGATGCAATTGTCTTTGACTTTGGTGTTTAGTCAAGGCAGTAAATTGTTTCTGGCAGAAAATGTCTTCCACACATCTGATTATGCATTTTTCACACATTTGGGAAGGCCAAGTTTGTTTGAATTCTTTCTCAGAGATTTCTTTTTCTGATGTTTCTTGCAGCTAACTGGCCCTCTAGTGGCCTAAAAGTGGTGGAACTTTAAGATGTGGAGACCCGAGGTTTAGCTGAGCGCTCTAAAGGGGCCAGATGATGTCTTCTCTGATGTTCTAGGTCACAGATGCTTTTTGATGAATGCTCTGTTTGCTGTGGGAGGAAAACAAAGCCTGCAAGTGAGGCGGATTGTATTATCAGAGCTGATCTGAAAGGACGCATTTTTCCCGGGAGGAGATGAAAAAGCCGTTGGTATCAGTGCAGCGCCATTGTTCGCTGCTCTCAGAGCATCCTGTTACATCAACGTCCTCACGTTTACTCCACTTCCTGTCGAAGGGATAAACTGTTTGGGGGGGCGAGTTGTGAGTCAGTGTCGTTGAGATGAATGGGTAGAGGGGTGGGATATCAGACTCGCCGGCATCCAGCTGTGGTCCCCAGCAGTCTTGTCTGCTCTGGAATTGGGACGCGGCCAGAAACAACATCAGCCAGCAGCAGCAGCAGGACTCTCCTCTTCACATCACAACAGCTGATCTCTTTGCAATTGTCCGCGTAAGATCCTGATCTGGGATACGCCTCCAAAGCAGACGGACGCACGCAACTTGGGACAGATGAACAATGAGTTGTTGTGAATTATTTAGTTTCTGGAATAATGTTGCTGTTAAATGGGTGGGAATAAAGTCAGTCTCTTTTTGATATTTTCTGAGTGTCGCCTCACGAGGAGCAGAATTTGGTCTAATACTTTTTTTATGATTTAAAGGAAAGAACATTAAATAATTAAAGTACTTTAATTTATTATTATTATACAAATATGGAAAAAGTAGGTCAAGGTAAAGGCCGTGTGTCAAAAGTTAATGTGTGAACCAGGCAAACTGTTAACCTGTAGGATGTGTGAGTGAGTGAGTGAGTGAGTGTGTGTGTGTGTGTGTGTGTGGGGGGGGGGGGGGGTCAGGTCCCTCTGGAGACTGAGAGGGAGGGGAAGTTAAGGGAGTGGCCTGCTGGTGTTACGTGTGTGTGTGTTTGTGGCGGTTGTGTTTGTGTGTGCATGTGTGTGTGTATTGTGGCTGAGGGAGCGGAGCAGCAGAATAGCGGACGTCCTGACTACTGAAAGGTTACTGCTGACAGCGAGGAAGAGGGGCAGCCAGTCTGAGGAACAGGAGGTAAATGTGGCTCTGATTTTTTTCTGGCTCACACATCAAACGCTCGTCTGACTTCTTTAACCTTTTGGCTTTCCATCACTGAAAAAAGTCACTGAAAAGACTTTCCCTATCAGCTGGAAAATGGGATGTACCTGCCTCTGTGTTTACATATCAGGTTTGTTTCCACCATGGTTGGACATTTATTGTTCTTACATGACAGAAGAATAACAATCTTTTGTTTCTTTAAAGGTTTGCATGCTGCTCAGGTGAGGTCACCTAAAGAAAGAGAAGCTTAACTTCGGTTCTGATGTTTGCGAAAGCATTGAGTTTTAAAAGCTGATGGAGAACGTACCAGAACGTGAGCTCAGATTGGTTTGGGATGATTTGTAGCAAGTAAAAAAAGGGAATGAGGCTCCGAGTTGAAGACCTGTGATGCTTTCTTCAGTCCAGACTGAAGATGATTGCTACTGTATTGTAGTCATTGGACTGAATCCAAGTGTGTGGTTCCTTTGGGCTGCTGTAATGGAAAGTGAGCCACCAGGTTTCTACTTTTCTCCTGCACACGCAGGCATAAAAGACCCTCAGAGGGTCTGACCTCACCAGGAATGAGATGGATTTAAGTTTAATGGAAAACCGGAGCGATGAAGCTGAGCTCAGTCGCCTGCAGTGGTTGGTGAAGGAGGTGTGTGTCTCATAGTAAAATTATTTATTTATTTATTGTGGGTCCTGACGACCGCCGCCTTTCTGTGGCCATCAGACGGGATTGTTGTTTTTGTGCAGTTAAATCTGGACTCAGACAGGCTCCTGAGGCCAGATGGGATGGGAGGCATGTGTGTGCTGGAGCGGGTCGGTGTTGGTTTCACCCCGTCAGGTTCTGGCTGTCGGTACCGGGGGAAGCCACTAATAGCAGCATGGAGGCTGGCAGCAGGTCACAAACTTCAGCCGTTTAAAAAATCTGAAGTCCTGCTCCACCGTCTGTGAGAACTATGTTCCTCGTGGTTTAGTGGGAGCTTTGAAATGACTGCTGTCTGTCTGGTGGAGACGGAAGAAAGTCGGGGGTGGGGGGTGCATGAGAAAAGGCTTGTTCTCTTTAATTGAGTTTATGGCTGAAACACAATTATCCCCCCTCCCGGTGTCTCTGTGATTGAATGACTCCATTCAGGTCTTTGTTTGTGTCCTTTTGCATTATTTTACTTTATTTGCCTCCTCTCTATAGTGGGAGTCCTCCAAACTCATCAGACACTCGTAATGACTCATTAAAGGGGCATTCTTCTAAAATGCTGCTTCCCAGTGTGGTATGGCTGACTTTACGAGTGACATTTAGAGTCGTTTTGAAAGGGTTTGTGCATGTGTTGCTTTTTTATGGATACAAGAGAATTCTGGGGAAAAGTTCAACCAAATCAGATCCACTTCTGAGTGTGGCCTTTGATAGTTTATTGGTTAACTCTTGGCTCAGACTTGATTTAAAAAAAAAAGTTTTTTTTTTTACATAGCAAAACGTCACCGATGTAAATCTGAGGCTTCCAGTTTCCTGTGTCATGTTTGAGCTCCTGATTATGTTTTCTGTTTAGCCGCTCTGCCTTTTAATCTGCTCAAGGTGAGCAGGGTCAGAGACACCGGGCCACAAAGACCGGAACGTTTCGGTTCTTTAACACTTGATGGATACAGGGTGCAGTTTTGGCTTGACTTTAGCACCTTCTAGTGTCCATTAGTAAAGACAAAAGTAAAACTCCTCTCCTCGCTGTGCGTTTGTATTTTTAACACTTCAATCTTACAGCTGAAATTTCTCCTCAGCCTTCATTGGTCTCTACTGGAGCAATTCATCACTAAATCTGATAAATCAGCTGTGTTCATGATCTAAAACATGCATGAAATGTGCTGGAAGCAGACTGCAGTGCCAGGCTTGTCAGCTCCACTTTACTAAAGGTAGTTTTCTTTGAGCGCTGTGGAGTAACTCCAACCAGTGCAGCTCAGCCCGACCGCATATTGCAAAAGCACAGTTTGGTATTTTCCCTTAAGGCTGAGTAGTGCCCTTCGAAAACTAGTCCAACAGGGTCCGACAAGGCACCTCTGAAGTTGCAAGTGTGGATTTGTGGCTACAGAGGGCAGTGAGGTCTGAGTGACATTTCATTAACCTTGTAAAGGGTCATTTTAGCACATACTGGCTCAAGAAAATGATTTAAAAATATGAAAAAGTTGCATAGTGTGCCTTTAAATCGAGGTTCTCAAACTGCTTTTGATGCAGCAGCTTTCTCAGTTGTTTGCCCTCATACACTGATTGTGTGTTATCTGTCTTTTCAAATGCATTTTTTTTTTCAAAAGCATTTTGACGTAACAGCAGCTACTAAAGTGTGCATGCTTTTTCAGGATCCACCCAGTTTTGTGTTTGATGTTTGATAAAGCACCTTGAAGAAGATTGAATCTCCACCCAGGAGCTTTTTGTTAAAGCGGATTAATCATAACAAGCAGCGGAGATTTACGGAGTGAAAGGATGATGACCCTTATTTGTGCAGCTGATTCTCCTGTGGAGGAGCTTGGAGTCAAAGGGGCCCAACAGTGGAGTCGCGTCTGTGTCTACGTCTTTCCTCCTCCTCATTATCTTGCCCATTTCTTTTCCAGATACCCAGAGCTGCAGTTCTCCTCCTTTCTGCGGCTGGAGGCAGAAAGCTGCTGCACTTTGTTGCAGTCATGCTGCATGATGTTCTGATTGTGTGGCCTCTTTCTCACACAGACATCTGTACTTTTGCAGCTGGTGTTGCTCATTGTGTCTGGAGCCTTTGACCTTAACCTCTAATAGGAGAGGCTAGAACTCCGACACGCAGACGTGTAACTGCTGTGGGTCGGCAGTGTGACAGTGGAAAATGCATTTTGTGATTTATTGACGAGGAAAAATGGAAAAAAATAGGTTGCTGATTTCACAGCTGAATACGAAGAGCAATGAATGTTTTCTTTTCTTTTCCGCAGGAGGGAGAGAGGGAGAGTTGCAGTGAGCTGGAGTGCATCAGATCTTCGATCCAGGACCTACACCCCCAGCAGACTCAACAGGGCAGAGAGCTGCAGAGGAAAGGTAAGACGCAGCAGAGGTGCAGTACACCAAAAAATAAACACACACATTTGTGTCTTTAGTTTCTCTACAACAGAACCTCGCTGATTATCAAGGAAGTCTTTCTGCCTTTTTTATGTGTCAGTAATCGCACCAGCCTGCACACCCTGACACTGACATCATATTTACATATCACACGTCGGCAAACACACAACCTGCTTATACTGTAAACATTGGACCCAAGGTCAAGTCCGAGTGCGCTCCGGTAATGCAAAGCCACACTGATTTCCTCTGTTTCACGTGCTGCAGATCCATTTCCCTGTCCGGCGCCTGCCGAAACACACAGGAAAAGGAGCCGTTCTCCTGAGGTGGCGGTCAGGAGGTCGTATTAGTTTGAGTTCCTTCATCTAACTTTATTAAGTGTTAGCAGTCACTCACAGTCAGGCTTAATGCCTTCGGCTAAAGTGTCAAGTCATTTCATTAGGCTCTCTGTTAGTTCAGCCATCAATAAAGTGACATGAATGTCTGAATTCAAGAGGGGATGAATGCACTGCGTTCACCAGAGATGGTGGAAATGAGCAGGAAAACATAGGGAGGACGTCAAAATGGCCTCTAAAACATTGAAACTATTGTTTACAAGCAGTAAGTGTCATTAAAAAGTTAATTATTGTTTGATTCGTTGGAAACCGACAGATCCTTTCTGGCTTTTACCTTTTAAAGGAGGTCTTAGATGTCTCTCTGTGTGGTCTGGGTTTGGTTCTGCGTCCTTCATGTGGACCAGGAAGGAGTTCACGGTGTGGGGGTAACGGGACGGAACAAAGAAACCCAACAGCCACACCTCAGCTAAATAAAGCTGATACCAGAGCAGAACTTGGGCCTTCACGTGGTGAAGAAACTCCCCACTGTTGTTGATTTATCACCGCCTTACACTTTAAGCCAAGCCGAAACGCTGACAGACCACTGAAGAAAGGTGGCCATTATAAAGGCATAAGTCAACAAAGCTGCTGGACTTGTGTTGTTGGGACAGAGGTGAAGACGTTGCCTCTTTAAGGTGAAAGTGGCATAATATCAAAGATAAGAAAATAATGAAATATCTTATTTTATTTTTGGTCTTTGGATGCATCCCAGACACCGACAACTATCTTCCTGACAACAAAAACCCGTATTTACATGCTTCACTTCAATCACTGTGCATCCAGCTGCGCCGTTCCAGCACGAACAGGAGTGAGCCGGTCTGTGATTTAGGAAATGAAATGTTTTCCGTGGAGTTTACCTAATGTTTTAAGTTCCTGAAAGAGTTCCCAGAGGAACAGTAACACACTCATTACAGTTTCACACAGTGAGCCGGTGATGGAGTGGCGTCACATCTGTTACACTAACATAAATATACTTCACACTCATTCACACGTGTCTGTGCTCTGCTGCGTGTGAGCTGCTGTGATGATAGGAACTAAACACCAGCAGGCTGTTGGTGTGTGTCAGTTAGGGTTTAAACGTTTCAACAACAAGTGGCTTTAGTAAGTTTGTACTCTCAGGAAGAAAAATGCTGCTCTAATGAGCCACTAACTCTTCCCTCTCGAGTCATCATCCTGCTGGGTAAAACTACCAATTTAGTCATTAGAATATAATTTGAACCATTAATTTAAAGTAACACAGAGCAGTTCCCTGCTCCTCTGCCCTATTGGTTGAAAGTGGAATTACACCTGTTGTAAAACAACCCTGCTGTAGCTAGCGCTAACAACGAGCTAACACTAACATGAGCCGTCTAATGAGCTTTGAAAGAAAAGCGTCTGGACTTCTTTGAGTTGCTTGAATAGGACCCACACCCACCCTCACACCTTGGCTCATGTGTTTATGTAGAAAATCATCAGGGGGGTCTTTTGTTCCCTCTTCGGGGGGAAACTCCCACTGGGTTTAAATCTGGGACTCTCCACCATTTGACCTTAGAACTGAAGAAGCCTCTCGGATGAGAGGTGAAACGTCTTCAAGCAACTCAAAGAAGTCCAGACGCTTTTCTTTCAAAGCTCATCAGACTACAATGACCTGGATGACTGAGAACCTTCACAGACACTTATGGGCCATTCCCATCTGTACCGGGTCGGCCCGGGCCGGGTAGCCCCAGTCGGCCCCAGCCTGGCCCGGTTGATTCCACACATCCTTGTCTTAAGCCCATGTGGGCTGATTCTACCCACCAATCAGAGGCTTGCTCTAATCGAAGGTGTGAATTTGCTGTCAGCAGTGGGTGTGTTGGCCCTGGTCTGCCTGAAGCAGACCCCGTCGAGAAGAGGGCTGAGAATGAGCCTTGGTTGGCCCGGAAAAATACGAGGTCACCCAGATATGTAAACAACCTACGCTATCCGGCCCGGGCCGACCCGGTACGGATGGGAATGGCCCATAACATGAGCCAACTACGCAAATAAACCATGAAGTAAAAAAGATTCAAACTGTTAGCCAAAAATTTTATTACTTACAAGTCCAGGAGCACCTAAGCCAGGTCACCAGTAATCTGTGATTTTGTAGCCTCCTTTAGCTCCTTCAGACTAGTGTAGGGCGCGTCGATGTTCACTCTGGTTTTAGCTCTTTGCTTCACCTTCAAATACGTTTACTCTCTTACTTCCAGGCTCCGCCATGATGCCAACAGAAAAAGCAAACTTATTTTTCTTCTTCTGCTTTTTATTGACTATTGGCGAACAGAAAATGCCAACTGCTAGCATAACAGCTAACAGCCGTAAAGCAGGTAAATGGCGCTCCCTAGAACACCTACCCGCTCCCCAAAACTATCGAGTGTGGTGGTCAGCTGAGGAGTGCAGAAAGGTGTCAGATATGAAATTGGTCAAGTTCTAACTCAACAATCACTGAGATTAATGTTAAAGCTCTAGTTTAAAGTTTAAAAAAACAATCTAGTGTTACTTTGCCCAAAACAATCCAAACACAGTGAATAAAACGTCAACTTTTGAGCAGTTTTAAGATTGTTTCTTAATAAAGTCTTCTTTACTTTATTTTTTACACAAATTAAGAATAAACCTACATTTGAAATACATTAGCACTTTTTCTTCATTTTATTACTCATAGATCTTTTCATAAATTGCTTGATAAGTTTATTTAACTTGTTAATCCAAGTCTAGTTTAAAACAAACCACTGAAGCAAAAGAAACGAGGTGAAATCTCCTTTTGACCGGTTCATAGGGAGGACGCTTTGGGTCAGTGCTTCACTATAAAGACTTTATAAATAAATCCCTCAGTTCTTTTTTGTTTCTGCTTTATTTGTTCGCTGGCAGCAGACTGCAGCTTTTGTGGTTATTTTTAAGTAAAAAACAAGCCTCTCATTATGCAGCAGCAGTGGGGATTTTCCTAGAAATTGTCTCACAATAGAAAAGATGGCTTCCTGGTGCAAACCCATGAACAGGAACGTGAGTGTTTATTGGAGAAGGAACGTGTTCTGGCAGCTAAATCCTAATTATTTACCATAATCATGTTTTTTTTTGTTCAGACCCTCTTACATAATCATCTCAGTTGTGTAATCAGCTTTTAGCCGCCATTCTGTTCTAGTAATTAGCGTCCTGAGGAACAATATCAATGTGGATCCAGTGAACTTAAAGAGACTGAATTGCTGCTTCCAGTCTGACCAGAACCGATTTTTGATCTGGTTTGTTAATCACAACTCGGCATTCTTGGAGATTCTGTTGCAAAGTTGCAGAGTTTTGTGACATCAGAGCTGAATAATAGTCGGTTTTGTTTATCTGTGGTAGACAAACCGCTTCAAATATCCCATCATGCTGCTTCACCACGAGGTGTTGGAGGTTGAAACTTCAGAAGGGGAGGATGCGGGTGCTCCTGTTGTTTAGAGTGTGGTTTCCTGATTGGAGAAGGAGCTCAGACGAAGGGGAGGGGAAACACTTCTCCCTATAGTCTCTCTTTAGCTTCCGTTTTTCTCCTCGCTACTCACCACCTATAGCATGAGCCACATGCTCCCTGTTTCCACTTAGGGGACCTCCCTTTTCTAAATGCACTTCCACCAACACAATCTCACAAATCTGTCAGGAACTGAAGCCAGGAAGTGTCTGCATCCCCCTGTGACTCCACATGCCTCCTCTATGATCCTGAGTCATATTTTTCGAAAGACCAGCTCTCTTTGGGCCTCACTGATGTGGAAGCGTTAAATGTCCATCGGTTCTGTTTACAGTTGATCTGTGAAAAGCCACAAAACCATTTATTTCTCAATTTTTTTTAACAACAGGATCCAACTCAAGCATGGTGCTGGTTCTGGATCACCTGGTGAAGGATGACAGCTCTGGCCCTTTGCTGATCAAACCTCAGAAGGAAACCTTAGAGACAGATCTGGCTCTGACTCATCGTCAAAGGTCAGATTCCACAGCTTCAGACCGCAGTGGGACCTCTGGGTTTTCTATGTCCAATCTGGATTCTGTCGCCTCTGAGAAGAGTCTCGGCCCAAACCGCCGAGCTCGGTTGGACTCTGGAGCCTCAGACAGGAGCCAGGATTCCCCCCAGCGGGGTCGTCTGGACTCAGCTTCATCAGATCGAAGCATCAGCTCGCTGTCTCACACCAGACAGAGACTGGGCTCAGATGCCTCCGACTTCTTTGCCAGACCTCGTCTGGGGTCCGGGACTATGGACGGCATCAGTGCATTGCTTAGGAAACGGACCGACTCTGTGACATCTGACCACAATACAAGCACATCCTCAGAAGAGAAGAGTCCTCTGGAGGAGGTGGAAGGAACCACAAGCAGTTCAACTAGCAGCACAGATTCTGAAACAGAAAGGAACCACAGTCCGCCCAGCGTCCAGAACCAGTCCGACCAGGACCACGTTCCTGACCAACAGGAGCCAGACGGGGCAGTTTTCTCTCGGAGAGGTGCTGTGAAAGGCAGGGGAAGAACAGACTTCCAGAGTCAAAAGGTGGGGTATGAAGCAAATATAACCAGATTTGGCTGCTGCAGAAGAACCTGACCTAAAATTCAATTCAATTCAAAAATACTTTATTAATCCCAGAGGGAAATTCAATTGTTTCAGTACACACAATTTCAAGATCAGACATACATACAGACACATGACAAGAATTGGTGACTGTGGTCAAAACAAAAGTTAACTCTAATGTAGGATCCAAAACAAGAATCTTTTTAACCAATGTAGCTTAAATTTTACTCCATTATAAGCTAAAATCCGACTCAGAAAGAGATATGTTTATGCTCTGCAGCCTGAGTCAGCTAGATGGTAAAAATAACCACTTCTTACATCTGAACCACCACAGTGTGGTGCTGAGGTGCATAGTCACACTTGTGTTGTTTTTTAAACTTCTGACAAGAAACTGCAACACTTCATTCTTCAGCGACACTCTGGTCCTGTCAGCATCTGTAAACACAACACGCTGAGCTTCTGGTGAATTTCTGTTCCTCAGTTACACAAACTAACCGTCGACTTAGCGGTTTCTGCTTCACCTCAGCAGCCTGTCGGGGTTCACCTGGTGTCACGGAGGGTCGGAGTGCTGGAGATCCTCGTTCTGAGAGAGCACACACACACACGCACACGCACACGCACACACACACGCACATTCCAAGTTTAAGCTTACTGTTGGGGAACATTTCCCATCATGGGGCGATCTTGTCCTGTTGTCATGACGCCATAGCGTTGCTTCACTCTATGTGTTTACGTAAGGCCGGCCCCGGACTTCTTTTATTGTCCCCTGCTGATGTTCAGTCTCCTGAGAGCAATGTAAACACTCTGGGGTCCGCCGTGAACGCGCCGCCAAGAAACGAACTCTCGTCACACATAAAAAACACACCAGCAGTGGCCTGCGCTGTGTTTAGGGTTGTGTGTGTAGTCGCCTCATCTCCAGCTCTTCATGAACATGTTCAGTGTCTGTTATAGCAGCTGTGTTGACTTTTCATCCCCTCCACTTCCTTTACTAATCACTCTGTCATGTTTCTTTGTCTCCCCTTCTTTCGTTTTATTTATTTATTTTTTTAGATAATGGTTAACGGCAACCTGTCGCTCACTCATGGCAAAGCACAGGATCCGGGTAAGAATAGGTTCACACGATCTTGATGTTCATGTGATTTGAGCCGCTTTCTTTTCCGCTCAGATAATCCTCCTCCACTGTGACCTTAGTGAATATTTCCACCAAGCCCCTAATCATTGGTTTATTTTCATTTTTTTTAATAATAAATGTTCACATAAACCTGTCTGTATAAAGGAATAGCAGAAATGTAATCACACGTCAAAGATGATGTAAAGATGGTGGAAAAACTATAAATTAGATAAATGAGGACGGGATCTGATGAGGGTTTTTGAATGCTCTGTGACGTGAGCAAAAGTTATTAACTGTACAAACCTGAGACTTCTCAGCGTTTCATTTTTTCTTGTTTGTTTTTATTTCAATTTATCTCCTTTCAGCCCCAGAAAAGAAAGATGTTATCCTGGAACAGTTCAGCCACAGCAACTCTGTTCGTGATCGAATGCGCAAGTTCACAGAGGCCAGCCAGAGCCCACAGCCACCTGCTTTAAAGAAAACCCCCCAGAGAAACGGGAACGCCTCCATCAGCAGCACCAATTTCCCCAGAGCTGCTGGGCTGTTCACACACACACCGACGTCCCTTAACACATCCGGAGACACGCCAGCGAGGCCACGTGTGGGCTCATTGTCTAGCGCCACTGCTCCATCTCAAAGTCAGGCTGCACCTAAACTGAAAGGCGGAGCTAACAAACATCTGCCCTCAGCAGGCCAATCGCAGAGCTCTGTGGGTGGGACAAGGCTCCCGGCTGAAAAAGATGTGCCTGCCTCTAGTGAGTCAAAGGAAGACGGAACCCCAGGGAGAGCAGCTGGAAGGACGGTCCCTCAGGGAGAGGAAGACCCCGACATGAAGACTTTCCTCACCATCGAGATCAAGGATGGTCGCAGCACCTCCACCTCCACCTCGTCCACACCGAGAGGCAATGTGGTACCCATCACCAACATGAGCTCTCGCATCACCTCGCTGGGGCAGCGGCCAGGTATGAGTATCCACCTCTGTGTGTGTGTGCATGCATGTATGCGTGTGTGCGTCTACTCTTTCAAACATAACAGGGAGTCCCATTCACTAAATCCCAGTGACCTGAGTGTTTTTGTGGCGTTAAACAAGCAAAGCACATAAATGAGTCATAAATATGATGGAGCTGTATAATAGACGGGTTTGTTACACACTTGGCATGTCGCTCCCCTTGTGTGTATGTGTGTGTGTGTGTGTGTGTGTGTGTGTGTGTGTGGGAGAGGGGTGTAGTGAGGTCACCGGTCAGCAGCAGAAAGCAGATTTCATACAAAACAAGAAACAACTGACCATCTGAGTCCAGACTGAATGGTTTTAGTGTTCCAGCCCACACTGCTCTGTGTGTAATATCTGCTGTATTTATCGTCTGGCCACTTTTATCTAAAGCAAAACACACTTGAGCGCTTTAATTCATCCGCGTAAGAGAAATCCCTGTTAGCTGCTCATCCGAGGAAAAGAAGAACACAGCAGTCTTTTATTAATACCGTTGGTTCTGCTTTGTGGTTAAAGAAAATAAAAAGTTTCATTTGTGCATCAGGCTGAATATATGAACCATAAAACCTCAGATATGTTCTGAAGAATAATTACTTCATTTTAAATCTGAATATTTCTGATAACAGTCAACACAAAAAAAGAAAATTTCTCATTTTTTCCCTTCTCATTAAAAAAAATGTGTTTGAAAGTAAACACACTATGAAAAAAAATGATGCGTTTTATCCACCCTGGGTCTCAAGATGTTGACATTTGCTTATATATTTTATTCTTTTCTTATTGTATTTGTAGACCTTTTTTCCAGGGATGCTAACCTTAAACCTTCAGAGGTTTTTAAACTTTAAATTTAATTACTTCATTATTGTTAAACACTGTTTGAGTCCCAACTAAAACCAAAGAGTTGGACACCAAACAAAAGTTGGATGTTTTTTTTTAATCCTCACCAAAATGCTGGCAAAGTTGCAACTTTCACTTAAAACATGTAGCAAAATGTTCAACTGGTACAGAGCAGAAATCATGCCTACACACAAAAGTGAGTTAATGGCACAAAAGACGGACTGTCCCCCAAAAACAAAAAGATTGGACTAGTGAAGTCCATCTGATTAAAATATCTGAGGTTTAATCTTGTCTCATCAACCAGGATCATCCAAACCGAGTCTGTAGATGTTCTTAACCCCCTCAGGAACCACTCTACAAGCTTAGTGAGTTTTTTTATATCCTTTTTTTTTATAGTATTCTTTGCTTTAATGGTTTTGGCTCCTTCTTTGGGAATCTGCCTGTCCATATCTGAGTTAAGAGGGTTTGTGATTATATCTCAAGTTTCCCTGAAAAGTGCATTTAAAGGCTTGTAAACGTGCACCGCGTCCTGCTGAGGTGCATCAGTTTTATGACCCAGCCTCTGTGTTGGTTTGGATGAGAGTACAAGTGGATTGTCTCTCATGTGCACCAGCTTGTTCATATTTATTAAAACCTCTTTTGTTTTACATCTCAATTCCCTCCATGTGTTTCAGAGTTGACCCTCGGCCTCCGAGCGACACCGTTTAAGACCTCCTCATCCACATTCTCCTCCGGATCCTCCATCAAGGTAGAGTCTGTCGTCTAGAATGTTTCTAGGGTCCGATCTGAAGATCTCAAACGTTTCTGACAATCCCGATGGCACTCAGTTTCTCTTGATAAGCTTAAGGATTTGTTTCCACTGGGGGCTTCGGTGAGACAAGACAGTGTGAGGAAAAGCGAGGAGAGGAGGGAAGAACAGTGTTTATCAAACACAGAGAGGGTAGCCAGTCACATCTGTCCTTGTAGGGTAAGTTAAGCAGACAGGAAGGAGAAGGGAGGTGTTAAGGGCATTTTTGGTTTTCTCCCTGCAGACCCACTGACTTATATCTGGGAGTTGTTTACCCGAAATCACACTTGTCCGTCTTTTTTTGTCCAGAGTAATTACTGCGCTAACTGCCGACACAAATTCTCCATCGCTTTTGTGACTCTTGCTGAAAGTTGTGGGCAGTGACCACAAACAAATCCGGTCTTATCTCTCTCTGACCTCTGAGGTTAAAGAACAGCTTAACTTCCATTCGCCTCATTCTCTAAAACGTTTCTGTCCTCCATGAAAGGAAGTGTCCTTGTGAATGGAGAGCAGGAAGATTGAGAGAGTGAGGAAGCTAGAAGCAGTGTCCTGTTTACTTTTTTTTTTGTGTGTGTGTATTCAGAAGGCAATTGTAATCTGGTTATGGGATCAAGCAGTTGGTTAATTATGACTCCACCCTGAGAGCTGTGTGTGGAGCTTCACATGGCTGCAGGGTGGGTTTAAAGGTGATGGAATGAGACCGTCTCTCTCAGCTATGAGACACAAACACCACTTAGGACCAGCGTAAACAAAAATACAATGCTTTTGTTATAATGCAAAAAGATTATCATTTATTTCTTTTGCAAACATTCAATGATTCTGCAGGGTTAAAGGGTTCAATGTTGAGATTATTTTTAGGTTCATTCATTGTAAAACCAGCAGCGCAGTTCAGACTAAGTCCTGCTGCGTGTCTACACATTCATGTCTTCATGCGAGCACCCCCATGTTTAAGCGCACGGCCATAAAAGCAGCTGCATCATTAGTGTGTAGCTTTGCATGAATGTGAATAAACCACATGTCTTAGATGAGATGATAAATCAAAGGCATCTGCCATATTTGATTAAGTTTTACCAAGGCTTTGCTTAAGTGACTTGAGTAATGAAATGGTAAAAACAGCATCAATGCTGATGGTTAGAGTGGTTTCCTACATCTAGATATTTTCCTGTTTTTTGGTGACTTAGTGAAAGTTCATGCTCTGGAAGAGTAGAACGTACTTTTTTTTATTGTAGTCTGCTGAAAAAGTAATTTTTTTTCAGGATATTTGTTAGAAATGAAGGTGATAAGCAGCAACATGAGTTGGAGCACGCACTTCCTGTTTGGTGGTGTTGATTGTTCACTGACCAGCGTGGTTCTCGTCAAGAACTCTGATCCTTTTGGGTGGTCCGTGATTCTCCTTGGTGGTCTAATCTCGCCACTCACATCCCTCGTAATTGACTCAATATTTAGTTTTAGTCTTTGTTGTCTCAATAAAACAATTTGATGCTGATGGTACTAGTGTTAAATTCAAAATTAAAGGGCACATTTTTTTCCTAAGTCATAATAAGTCTATGGTCCCTGCTAAACATGTGTATGTAGTTCTTTGCACTAAATCCCTCTCTCATAAAGTGATTCCAGCGCTTTTATTCTTGACATTTTCAGTACCTTCCAGAATGAGCCGTTTCAGGGCTCTGTCACTTTAAGAAAACAAGCTGGAGCTTGACAGAACACTGACAGAAAGTGAATGCACAGATTATTTTCATGTTTGGAGTATTTATAGAGGCAATAGAGATCCACATAGCAACACAAAAGAATGAAAAATGTGAGTTTTGCATGATAATCCAAAGGGTTCAAATGAAAGGCAAGTGGACTTCTTTGGTTTCTTGACAATCTTTCTGCCAGCCATCATGGAGAAGGGGGTGGCCCCAATGAGCAGCTTTCAAGAAACTAAAGAAGTCCATTTGCCTTCGTTTGAACCCTTTGGATTACCATGACCTGGATGAATGAGAACCTTCACCAGCATTTTGCATGATATGTCCTTTTTAAAGGAAGGGAGGAGATGGATTTTATTTTCATCACTGTGATCACAGCAGCTCCGTTCCTTCCTGATCACAATGTTTGAGCCTAAACACAAATGTAAAGAACACCTTCCTTTTTAAAACCTGAATGACGATGATTCAAGTCAAACAGGTCATTGCCAAGCTCTGGGTCAATTTTGCTGCTGAGTGAATTGGGACACAGTGGCGGATCAACTGTTCCACAGATACACAAGACCTCGTTGTTGTACAACGATCCATCATGACACAAATCTAAATTCTAGTTTGCCTTGTCTGGCATCATAATATTGCTTCTAGTTAGTGCAGGGGTGCCCAGTCCTGGTCCCAGAGTGCTGGTATCCACCAGGTTTTAGTTTTAACCCTGACTCAACACACCTGATTTCAATTAGAAGGCTTCTGCAGATTCTGATGACCAACTGCACAGGTGATTCAACTACTAAATCAAGTGTGAGGGAGCAGAGAAACCACAAAACCTGCTGGATAGCGGCCCTCCAGGACCTGGATTGGGCACCCCAGATTCAGTGCAAGAGTCATGTGTACCTTCATTGGACCCACTGATGTCTCCAAACATCGTGATTTATTGGGTAAATCCCTGACATGTACTGATATTCATCGTCCTTGTCCTTGTGCCTCAGGTTACTTTGAAAGTAAAGTGATTTTAAATGTCTTGTTGAGCCTAATTGGACCATCAGGATGTCCTCCTTTGGGTATTATCCATTTTCCCTGCTGCCACTTTCTGCTCTGTCCTTAGGGAAATTATTTTATTAGCCGAAACAGCTGCTGCTCTCTGACATTCCCACTTACGTAGAGCCTTGTTGTTTTTAAATGAATGATGCGTTGTGTATTTACATTATTGGTTGAAATAAATATTAGACTATTAAAGCCCCCGGTTTGTTGCCTTAGCTGTCAAAGCATGAATGTAAGATTTATTTAAAATTTTTTGCCCATGTGTATTTTTGTACTGTGTCATTAGCTCTCTTTGCACGTAGGGCACCATAATTATAAATCTGCAGTCTGCATTTAAAAGCAGCACTTGAAGATCAAAGAGGATACTACACATACAGACCGTCTCCTCGCTCATCACTGCAGCACTTAACTTTGAGCAGCAGATGGACTTTTGCCAAATAAGACTAAAATAAAGTTTTATGAGACGTCCTTGCCGACATCCTTGCTCCAAAGTGTGGAGAACTGGAGCTCTTTGTCAGCCGGATCCGTCATGGCTCCGAATGTTATGCCCTTCCCAGTCCGATCTTGGCTCTCGTGGTCTGATTTCAGTCTCTGAAGGATCAGATTGGTTTAAAATCCCCTGCTTTTTTTTAGAAAGCACTTTTAACTGAAACAATATGGTTGGAGCAACAGTTTGCCTTCCACTCAAGGTGTGAAGGACGTGTCCTGAGTAAAAAATGGGAGAGGTGACGTTTTTTTATTAAATGGTTGCCCCCTTTCTCTTCCCCGAGAGTGACGGGCTCAGTGGAATAATAGGAGAGCAGAAGATAAAATTACATGTCCACTGCACCCAGGAACAAGTGGGTGGGAGCTGCTTCTGAGAAAAGGGAGCCCCTGCTTGCTGATTGGCTCTCCGCTGCCTGCATGAAGAGAGGGGCCATTTGCAGAAGTTATAAATCTCATGGATTGTTTTTGATGGTTAGAACTAGTCAAAGAACAGCATCTACTGCTGCTGTGATTGGGTTTTACTCCTGAATTCTCACATTTAACTTTTTTTTTTTTTCAACCATGCCTGGGGTTGATGAGTCCTCAAAGGCTGTGAGTTCTCCAGATAATACCTGTGCTGAATCTGGTCTGGAAGAGGTGATTGGTGATGTGCTCTCCCACAGTGAAGCTGATGAGGAGTTCAGTGAGAAAAGACTGCAGCTGATGTTGAGATGTGCTGTGAAGGAGATCCACAGCGATCTGCAGGCCTTTGGGAGGAAGGTGGATGTCCGTCTGGAAGAGGCAGAAGCTCAGGTGGTTCCCCTTGTTGACGCCATGTCCAGGCTGCAGGAGGAGAACCTGAAACTGAAGAGTGAGCAGGAATGGATGGTGAGACAAGTGGAGGCCCTCTGTCAGACGATGGGACTACCTCATCCCAAGGTACAAGAACTCAGCAGTGAGGAAGGTTCTTCAGATCAGTGTGGAGTCATAACTCCAAGCAGTGTTGGTTCTGTGTGCACACACCAAGAAGCTGATGTTTCAGTCAATCTTCGTCAAGATTCTCCATCTTTCACATCTGAAGATCCAGCAGCCAGTTCCCCTCCATGTGATCTCATCAGCTCGTCCCAGGAAGACCACCGACCTCTCAGGACTCACCTCTAGTATCTTCCGAGACGAGCCCTCCTCAGAAGTTAAAACCTTTGCTGATCTGTCACCTGCTGACCTCTGCATCCCGCCGCTCCCTATCAGCTCCTTCTCTGAAGTCGAGCAGTTCTATGAACAGCTGCACGGTACTGGTCCGTGTAAATCCTTCTCATCACGATCCCTTCTAAATCAGATAAGCCACTTAAAACAACGGGAATGCCTTTTGTTCCGGTGTTCCTGTGGATCAGCTGGTCTTGACTTTTATACGCGTTGCCATCCATCCCACCTATGTTCTGCTCTCTCACTCGTCTCTCCACTTTCACCTGGTTTTAATCAGCCATCATGTTCTCGCTTCAGCTGAGGAACGTAGGACGGTCTTGGCTGCCTGTCAGGTTTGACGGAAAGTGTTTACGAGGAAGACTTCACGTGTTATTCTAGTCCCATAATGCCACGTGCCTCTGAGTTTGGCAAGGACTCAAATCTCTGTGTCCTGTTGCACTTCAGCACAGAAGACCAAATGAGCATGTGGTCTTTCTGCAAGTATGTTTTGATTTTTAGGGAAAATTAAGAGAAGACAGGATTGCAAGAATCCAGTCATCAGATGAACTGGCTGCTTCAGATATTCTTGTTCCCAGATATTCATCCTAAAGGACCAAACATGAACAGGGTTTACTCTCATCTCCAAGCTTGTTTTTCCATCATCCCTTGTACAAATACATCTTTGTGGATAAAGTTAACATTTTTAAGGATATCAAACATCTGCAGCCTTATCTAGTTGGGTTTGTGTTATCTCTAGATCTGCAGACATCTGGGTCCGTTAATCAGCTGGTGGTGGAGACTTCCCTCAGATGTGATAATGACAGGGTGACCTTATCTAACCACGCTTGCCTTCCTTGCTTGCACCAGTAATTTCCACGTCCACTCTCGAGGGGGACACTAAAGCTGACTTGATGACTTTGGGTTTCTGGGAGTTTCTAATTCTACAAACGTGCTCTCATTGGCTGATCTGGAGCCCTTGTTTGGCTTTGCTGTGTCCCAAAACATTCCTCATCGGTCAACTGCCTCTCAGTGCCGCCTGTCTCACGGGGTCAGAACTGTCCAGAAAAGGTCTCGCCACCTTTTGATTCTGCAGCTCTCTGGTGGGACCTATTCCCTCAGCAGAGGAGTGGATGGAGGCAGAGGCAGAGCCAGCTGCATGACTGGCACATCAGAGCTAAAGCTAGTCTCGATCGCCTGACATTTACACAGAATTAATGCCTACTAATGTACCACCTAACGGTGCTGGTGTCATGTAAACTGTTGGTTGGTGGGAGCCTGGTATTATTGAGACAATCAGTCACACTCTGAACTAAGCAAACAGTAACTTGGCAGGATTTCTCTCACTCTCATACTTACCGTCTCTCCCTGTGATGGGCCTGGAGACTGGAGGAGTTAGGGATGTGGTCTCAGAAAGAGAACCATGGGTGGGAAACTTCAGACCTATTATGGAAACGGTGTGTTTGAGCTAAAACCCCTCTTGGTCTCATCATGTAGTAAATGTCAGCTGTAAATATGCATGTGGACGTTCTTTTTAGTAGATGGTGTACAGTTTCAGCTCTCTGATTTCTCTTTCTGAAACAAGAGAAGACTTGTTACGTTGGTGTTTGTTTGCTCTTATTTACGTTGCTTTTTTTTTTTTGCATCTTATGCAGATGGAGACGGAACCCATCGTCGCCTCAGTGCCAGTGTTTGCAGCTGGACCGTCTGTGCAGTTGGCCCAGCAAAGCTCAACCATCCCCAACGGCTCCAGCACGCAGTCCAAACCAGTGGAGAGCTCCGGAAAGCTCACCGCCGAAAAGCTGGCTGCGATCCAGGATGAGGAGCTTCTTGACAAAATGGTACTTTGTTCCGAGTGATTTAAGATTGGAATCACCAGTCTGAAGTGAGCTGTGAGGATCTGTTTTGTTGATAATTTAGTTGTTTTCATGCTGTTTTTTTTTTTTTTCCAGCTTGATGAATCAAAAGATTTTGAGGAGAGGAAAATGATTCGTGCCGCCATGAGAGACCTTCGCAAGAGAAAGAGGGGTAAATGAGTAAATTCATGTTTTCTTTCTGGATAATTAAGGTTTTGTTTCATTCTTTATTTTAATGATTAAAGGTAGACATGGATTTTTGTAATAATATATTTGTTTTCAGGTTTTTTACATATTTAAAGTGTAAGTTTTATGAAATTTGCCCTCAGAAGCCATGCTGGGATGTACCCAAGAGGAAATGGGTAGGACGTGTGGTCTGTAGTGATCATTTACTCCCTGAGTTTAACCCGTTTTTGCACACTTCTTTGTGTCATACCAGTATGTATGTGGAAGTTTAATTCTCTGAATGCAGTGAGTGATTTGAGGATTTGCATGAATCCTGTGTTTTAGGATAAATTGTTGATAAATTCTCCACCTATTCTGTGTTTTTGGTGAGCACTTGCTGTATGGTTTGTGAGTAGCACTCAACAGAATGCATAAATACCAATTTAGGTAAAAGCTGACAACACCAGAGCAGGTATCTGTCTTTTATTGCGTGTTTGCTCACTTTGATGTGATGTTTGTGCAGGACATTTCATTTGACAGCTTTTGTACGGCCGCTAAACTTCCCACCTCAGAGTGTTTGCGTGCTCTGAGAAGTTTTATAGCACGCTGGAAAGATCTGTGATATGTTTTGCTATCTGAGCTGGGAAGCCCTGTTTTAATCCATCTTTCCCAGAGTCAGCTGAGGTGCTGTCAGCTTGTTTAGGACCTCTTGTTCTCCCCCTCCTCCTTCGCTTTTTCCACTGACATCATCTGTCCTACCTCGTCTCTCACCCTAGACCAGAGAGAAAAGGAGCGCGAGACTCGCCTGCAGGATCTGCGGCAGCAGAGGGACGACCGAACGCAGAAAGGTCGAGCAGGTCCCGGAGCTGGAGAAGTGGTGATCAACAAGATGGAGAAGTCGGCAGATGGTTCAACCCTCAGCCAAGTCACCAAGACAAACCGTTTCACACAGTCTGGTAGTTATCTTTATTAAAGTTGCCTTCGGTGTGTGCTCATTAAACCCCACACATGAAGCATAAAAGGTTTTTTTTTAACGTTTTTAGATGATGGGAGCAAATCAACTCGCAGCACAGTGTTAGAAACCAGTTTTGTTCAGAAAACAGACAGTGAGTTTTTACTTTACCTCCAGTAATCACTTCATTATGCTCTGTTGGAAACATTTAGACAGATTATTTATATTTTATTTAATCTTTTTCAGGAGGGACAGTCCAGTCAAAGTCATTCAGCTACTCCTCTTCATCATCTTCCAACACCAGCAGGAAAGTAGGCAGGTGGGTTTAAAAGCATCCAGATGGTAAATGACAACCCAAAGTCTCCTGTTTAATCAGTCACGAGTCAACCTTGCCTGTTTCCGTCAGCGTGTTCGATCGCGAGGATGACTCATCGTCTCGAAGCGGGAGCAGCGGGCTGGCCGCCATGGAGCGGCGGCAGGCAGAGAGGCGCAAGGAGCTGATGAGGGCTCAAACAATGCCGAAGACATCCGCCATGCAGGCCCGCAAGACCATGATAGAGAAGCTGGAGAAGGAGGGAGGCGGGTAAGGATAAACAGAGGAGCCGTGTGACCAAAAACAGTAAATGGAGCGGGTCAACGTGCATAAACATTAAAACAATATGGACTTTTCTTTCAGCCCTGGAAATCAGGCCGTAGCCAAAGTAAACAGGGTGCAGCGCTCCACCAGTTTTGGCGTTCCCAACGCAAACTCCATCAAGCAGATGCTGCTGGACTGGTGCCGTGCCAAGACGCGCACATATGAGGTGAGGAAACCAACCGCAGCAATAATCTCCAGCACAAACCCAGGAAGCTGCAGCCCTGAGCTAACTGTCCCTTGCTCCGCTCATCTCAGCATGTGGACATTCAGAACTTTTCGTCCAGCTGGAGTAACGGCATGGCGTTTTGCGCCCTGGTGCACAGCTTCTTCCCTGATGCCTTTGACTACGACTCACTGAGTCCCGGCAACCGCAGGCACAACTTTGAGGTGGCGTTCAGCTCTGCAGAGTGAGTACACACACCACAAGTATTAATCCCAACATTTGTACTAGTCGATGGAGAATCCTCATCAACAGCTGAGTTGGATTTGGTAATCCTGGTGGAAAAAGTGTAAGAGAAATGGTGAGAAACAACAAAATAATCTCAGATTTAACACGCTAGCCCCATCCCAAACACACGTTCCTTTCTTCTCTTTACGTCAGCATTTTTATATTCAACTTTGCTCACTGATTCTCTCTACCAGCGTCTAACAAAATTCTGGAAACCGACCAAACTTTTCAACAAATGTCCCAATCCTAACTCTCCCAGTCTCTCCCGTTGGAAATAAAGTCAAAAGAACTCTTTAAATCTCCTCTTTCTGTCCATCCTCTAATGTAAACAACCTCTCACCCCTCCTGCATCACACCGTTATCACCACTCGTGTGCTTTCACTGCTCCGAGCAGGATGGCGTCCTTACAGATGGACGTGGTGGCGATTTCTCACCCAGTCATGGCCACTGTTTGTGTTGCATCATCACTTTCCCCCTCATGCACCCTAGATACTCCCAACACACACACACACACACAAATCATCCTTTGCACACGTGTGTTCTTAAGGTCACCCCAGAGTTTTATTTGTGTTTGTAACTTGTTGGATTGTTGTTGTTTTTTTTTAGTCTTATTGGTTTGATCTAAAACTGGACAGAGAAAAAAAAACAACAAACAAAAAGATTAAATGAGCATCACCAGATGCTCATTTGACATTTGTCTTGTGTGTGTGTATATGTGTGTGTCCATGCCACGGATTGTGTGTATTGTGATGTCTATGAAGCATGTCAGCTCATGGATGTATTTATGATCACAGAGTGTAATGTTTTTTGTGTTTTTTTCTTCTCTGTCTTCTCTCACTGGATTTTTTATCTGATGGGCTGCTCACGGTTATGTATGCTTTTCTTTCTCCCCTCTCACATCATGCTCCATTGTTTTCATCTGTCCATCCTCTGCCTCTCCTGTCATCTCTTCTGTGTTTCCTTTTGTTCGGGTCCTTCCCTTCGTTACTCTCCCCGTCCCTCCCCTTCGGTCACGGACGCAGGAAACTAGTGGACTGTCCCCAGCTGTTGGACGTGGACGACATGGTGAAGATGCGCGAGCCGGACTGGAAGTGTGTGTACACGTACCTGCAGGAGTTCTACAGGGGCCTTGTGACGAAGGGGCTGGTTAAAACCAAAAACTCCTCCTAGAGTCACGGCCCACCTAAAATTAAACCCATGGTGAGACGGGGGGAACCTCGATATGATAAAGAATTTACTTTGGATAACCACTTTTGGACATTTCATCCTTCATTTTAATCTGAAGTTTTTCATATTCAGAGCACCAAACATGGTGTATAAATGTGTGTGTAAATGTGTGTGTAAGTCTCTACCTAGCCTGACTAAGAGCAGGCAGAGAGCCAGATCCATCTGCAGCTCAGCACTTTAAAAGGAGCTGCGGTATCGCCACTATTCAAACACACGAGTTCAGAAACGAAGCAGAGAAGGGACCTGCTTTCTGATCAAGAGTGAGATTACAGCTGTTTATGTCCTTGGCTTGTAAAACCTTTTAAAGTTACTTTATTAGTAAAGTACAGAATAACTGTTGTCTGCAGTGTTTTAAACGACCAAACATCTTTCATGCTGCTGACATTTCTTTGTACTCATGTGAGAAACTCACCCTCTTTATGTTCTTTCTGCATATCTGTACTGAAGATGTGTCTGAGGGCTGCTGGCACGTGAAGCTGGCGCCATCCAGTGGTGGCTCGCAGCATGTAGTTACTCAGATTTAATCTCTAGAAGAGTTGGGGACACATGACCAAAGCAGAGCTGATGTAAGGGATATGTTTGAGATTAGGTATCACAATGAGTAGATTTCAGTGGAAAACCAAGAATTTCTTCATATTTTGCTCTCAGGATTTATAATTTTTTGTAATCTTTTAAAGGGTCTTCATCTAAATATGCTGGTGAAGGTTTTCAGTCATCAAGGTCATGCGTCTAAATAGTTATTTATTTATTTATTGGCATTGACCTGTTTTTCCCTTTCTCTTTCCTTGGTTGTACCAGATCAGGAGAGTGCAATATGCGTCGTAAGGGTGTGTATTAGCAGGAATCTGGTGATAGGTGCAATTTTTAAGTCTAAATTTTAATTAAAAAAAACTCAGGCCAGACGCTTCCAAGACTCACCCAGGGTTATTGCAAACTCTCATTCTGTCAGAGTGAAGGTAGTGAAAACTGCTGCCACCTTGGATATCTGATCGTATCTTCATCCCTGTCTTCTCATTCACTCTGTCCTGTATCCCCCCCCCACCCCAGGACCCACGCTAACTGCATGCCTTTGCTGGAAGTGGAGGACATGATGATCATGGGCAACAAACCAGACTCCAAGTGCGTCTTCACCTACGTACAGTCTCTGGTCAACCACCTGCGAAGATACGAGATGTCCATGGGTCGCTCCTCTGACCTTTGACCTGTGATCAGGGATCAATCAGACTGAATGTGGCGTCGGTCTCTCGCTCTCTTGCCGCTCCAAACCCATAAAAAATGGGCAAGTTGGAGGTTATGTGTGTGTTTGTGTGTTTTACTCAGTTTTGTGATGGCAGGGCATCGTAGTTTCACTCCTCTGGACTCCGGTGACACACAGTCTACCTCTTCTTCAGCCAGAGAGGATGCCTGAATTTTAAAAAACCTTCTGAGGTTTTTAACATTTAATTTTTGTTCTCAAACTCAACTCAATCTGATGCCCTTTAAAAAAAGAAATGTTTTCATTTATTGCCTCTTCTTAAGTATTCAAAGCAACATTCGCTCTCCTGTTATTTTATAATTCTGTAAAGTTGTTCACACCTCTGCACCACTGAAAGACAAACATTTACTCAAACATGTCACCTTCTTTTTTTATTCTGGTACTTTTTTTTTCCATTTTAACTCAACTACAGTTGCTTTAATTATTCTAATTAAGTTATTTTCATGTTTAATCAATAGGTGTATTGATTTTTTAATACACGAGCACAGGGATATTTAAGTAGACGCCACACTGTTGCTTCATTCGGGTTCTTAACTCTTATTTTTACTGAACTTCACAAAAGCTACTGAGAAAATCTGAAGTGATTCAGTTAAACCTGACATCTGTTTGTTTCTGCAGAAGATCTGACCGCTGCAGCACGGCGTTTCCCTGTCCAGGTCCACACACAGCTCCTTTTATTTATGTTTAAAGAGATTGTAGATGAGTTTTTCTGATAAGTTCATATTTTGTGCTTTTAAGCATTTTGTTCAAATATCAGCTTCAGTTTTAATGATGAATTAACTGGGCTCTTCTTTTAAAAGTCCAGGGTATTTTTTATTGTACATTTATCATTAGTCTAAGAAAAAGTTTTTTTTTTAATCTGAGGAGAAAATGTATTTGGTAGATTTGAAAACTAATTTTAGGATGACTCAACTGAAAACCAAACCTCCATAGAGCAGTGAGTGCATGTGTACATAAGAGCCTAAACACGTTGTAACTTCATGTTTTCTGTGCACCACAGTTAAATATGAACTCATGATTAAAACAGTTTGACAAGTGAATCTGTTTCAGGTGGATTATTACAGAAAACTGCACACAGAGAGATTTTTAGAGAGGTTTTTATTTTTATCTTCCAACCTTTCCATCTGAGTTGGTGTGTGTGTGCTTCACCAGAACCCACCAGAACCAGCAGCATCAGCTTCAGGCCAGTCGCCTGACTTTTAACCTGAAGCTTCATTCAGTTTCTCTGCAGGTGTGAGGCGATCACAAACAAACTCTGGCGAGGAGAGGATACTAAAGACAGCAGACGCATGATGGACAAAATAAAACAGTCTTTGTAGAAAAGCACTGGAAAAATGACTTGCTGGGTTGTAAATATATAAAAAAGAGCCAGTGGCATAAATGTTCACATTGATTGGCTGGTTATAGTCCGATTTCCCTTTTTCTCTACGATCTAAGCCATGATTTGCTTTATAATGAAGTTAGTATCAGTAAGCAGCGCTGTAGTGTTTATTTTTTGTCCCATTCTGAAGGTTATAGGTCAGCGTGTTTGGGCTCTGATGAGGATCTGGGAGTGGGCTCGTCTTTAAACGGGCTGTCTTTGGCGGGGGAGAAGCGGAACTCCTCGGGGACCTCGTCCTCTTCTTTAGCTTTCTTGTAGAAACCCAGTTTTCCCAGCAGCTCATTGATTTCAGAGCGGGTCATGTCGGTCAGAGCGATCCGCTGTGAAGGAAGCACACGCGGATTATTTCACCGATGCACCACTCTGTCATGACGCAGAATATAAGTGGATTTACAAGAACTGAACTTTTAATGGATCAGCTACGTCGTTTAATCAGAGTTTTGTTTATCAATGCAACACTCATTATCACATCATTTTCTCTTTTTACACCAATTTATAGCAAAATTGCTATAAAACGTGCCAACTAGCACCTCTTGATTTGACCAGAATAGAATAGAAACATGATGATAAACCAATTAATCATAATGTGCTCCATTTTTGCAGAAAACTAAAATAAGGGAGCATTAAACAGGAGCACAAACCTGTTTGCAGATCAATAATTCACTTACATTTGGGAATTTCTCAGGGAAATAGTTGAATGTTCACACAATAAAAGACATTTGGTAGATTCTAAGGCCAAAATAAAATGAGAAAATAAAAGCAGTTATTTTTAAACTTGAATCTAGTAAGAAAATAAAATATCTCGTGGTCATTTTTTGCAACTATTAATTCTGGCATCTTTTTGATCCTCATGGAAAATTCATTTCAGTATTTAACACTTGCTTTGCATTTATTTGTGCATCTTTCACTCAGATTTATCATGCAGGTGTTTTAAAATCCAGACCACTTGTTAAAGATACAGTTTATGTTCAATACAATTTAGAGGTTTTTGACATTGTGGCACATTTAAAAAAACTCATTAATAACTTTGAATTTTTGCACATTAGTCCAGACACAAATACCAAAACTAGGACATTTAATTTAACAGATTGTAATTTTGTTTAAATATGTGTGATACAATCCTAATTAAAACTACAAAATGGTTATTGAAATTTAATAAACACACATTTCCATTTACTAACCCTTTTTAATAAAAAAAATTGATAATCATGTTTTATTACCAAAACAATCCAATAAAACAAGCACTCACATCTAGTTCTTCATAATAGTGGTTGAGGAGGACAAGCTCAGGATCAGCCCCAGGAATGTGCTTCATCACCAGATTATGGCTGAAGGAGCGACGGTCAAGGAAATGTAGGAATAAATGCAAAAAGTAACTCCTAAGCACACATCAAGAAATGCTGGAAGTCAAAAGGATACTAAAGGGGAATATCCTGGACTACAAAGGCTTTGACCTGCAGACAGAGGTGAGGATTAAGATTTGACATGGATTATGGATGTGACAAATGTTTGAGGAGTTTTGGGCAGGGATTAGGGTTTAGTCTGCCTCCGACACATCGGATCTTCTCTGTGCCAGCTGATTAGTGACTTACCTCTCTAAGTCTGTTCAGCTGTCATCCACCACATGACTGGAAAGAGACAACAGGTGAAATTATCACAACTTTAAAGATCAGCATCCATGGCTCCAGGTTTTTATTATTATTATTAATATCAGGGTTTAAAAAAAACTTTCAACAGGGAATCTTCCAGCCAGGATTAAGTTACACCTTGTGTACAAAGCACAGATCCAGTTAGGCCCTTGGGGAGCATGTCCGACCTATTTTTCCAGACATCTGAGCCTCAAGTGTGAGGTGGGACTAATGCAGCAGGAGCATCAGAAAATGCTTTTGTTCATGGTGACACCCGGGGGGTTAAAATGTCTGGTCCCTCCCATCCTCTAAAAATCATCCAACAATAAGCAGGAAGTCACTGTGCGTTAGCTTTTTACTCCCTTTGCTTTTAAAACAGGCATTTTTCTCCTGTACAACCACGCATGCGCCAATTTCAAACATACCCACAAAGACAAGCATCTACTCACACCTTTGAAAACCCGATCTCTACATGAAATATCCCAAATCGGTACACGGATTCACCGTAAAAAATGGAGTGAAGCTTGCTGTACCTCCACCTTCGCCTTTGCCAGTCCCTCCAGCTTCTTCTGATCCACATCATAAACCGAACCGAGCTGAAACAAGCCAGCCAACACGATCAGCCACATCCTAGACCTTCAGCTGGACCGGTACCTGCAGATGTGTGAAGGCAACTGAGCTGAAGAGAGTAGGAGGGATGATTATGATGAGCAGATGTGTTATGTCCGGACTTCATGCCACGTCAAATATTTGTCCCACATGAGAGAGGGGGCGTGGAAAGGACTCCTATTGGCTGTTTGAGGCATCCCTATCAAAATAAAAGCCGTCTCATGCTGAAAAGTGTTATAATCCAACAGATTATTATTTTAAAAAGTATAAACTGAGGTGCTGACTTCATTTTCTCATCAGAAAAACAGATATTTTATTTAATGCAACATAAAAAACAAACTGCCCTTATTTATTTATTTTTGTAAAGTTAATTTAACCTGGAGAAGCCATTGCTTCATGTCAAGTGTGCTAACAACACAACAAATTAATACCTTTTAGGAAAAGACAAAATAAAAAAGTAATAACCTATAAAGTTTATAGTACAGAAAATAAAAAGTGTTCGTAAGCACATTTTCAAATATAACTAGAGTTTTATAAAAAATAATAATGTGTGTTACTAGACACATTTTAGTGGTATATGATGAAGAAAAGACAGGAAATGCAGTACCAAAATCAGGATATGTTTACTAATATTCTATATAAAATGTTACGATTTCTCTTTAAAAAAATTTAATTTTACAGCTCAGCACTGCCTGCACAGGATACACACATTTGTGAGGTATATGACACACCATATAATATATAAGTTATATATAAGTTAGATATAAATTAATTACCAAGACAAATAAACTGATTTCTGGGAGAAGAGCAATGAACAGAAGACACAACCCTGAAGTGTGCCAGTGCCGATGATTTGTGTGTAACATACAGTGACAATAAAGAACTATCTATCTATCTATCTATCTATCTATCTATCTATCTATCTATCTATCTATCTATCTATCTATCTATCTATCTATCTATCTATCTATCTATCTATCTATCTATCTATCTATCTATCTATCTATCTATCTGAAGATACATTCCAACTTCCATGTAGTTATCAACTAATTAATCTGTAAAAGCAATTCAATCTTAGCAGTAATATCTACTTTAAAACTAACACTGACCTTTGACCCTAAACGCTCTTCGAAGGTATTCGCACCCATAGATATCATATTTATTAACATGTTTATACTGTATATATGATTTCTAGCTATATATGATGGCTGCTCTCCAGTATCTTTTAATCACGCACGTCACATTTGTGGTCGCTAGGTGGCAGTAATGCGCTGTAACAACTCGGGTCTACTTTCATCCTGCACTGCTCGCTCGTTCTCATGGAAACCAGTGACGGATTGGCGCGCGAGCCTGTTCGAGGAACCGTGCGCGCGCACGCTGAGGTAATGTTTGAGTCTTGTCTACCTGCCGTCGCTCTGTGCGCTGTAATCACCAGCCCACGGGTGCTGCTCGTTCACGGAAGCGAACCGCCCGTTCTCGGACGTCACCGGTAATTTTGAAGGGCATGTCGGGGCGCTGCTGCTGTTGCCTGCGTGTTTAAGGACAGCGGTGAGTGTTTCTGAGATGTAGCCTCCTGCTGAATAAACCTCTCACCAGCACCGTTCCAAATCCACCTGCTCCTCCGTTCTAGTCCGCTGAGAGGAAAAGGAAGGTGCTGAGATGCCGATGGTTCTCAGCAGAGGCGACAGAAAACAGAAGTTCGGTGTTTTTGTGTAACAGACAGCCTTCTTATCAGTTTTACAGCGAGACGTCGGACTGAGCCACGTCTACACCCGCCGACACGGTTCCTTTGCATAGAAGACCCCAAACAGGTAAAGGTGTCGATTAATCCGCTTTACGCATGCGTCAAAACTCAAGCAGCAATTAAAAGGCATGGTCCTGTTTACTTAAGACACTAAATACTGTTTATTTTACTTAACCTGACCTACAACACCTGCCTAAAACCCGATTGTCTCACAATGAACGTTCCCGCACAAATAGATGCATAATAATTAAGAAAAGCAGCGTTTCTACCTATATTATATTAATATAAGAAAACATGCTGCTGAATCATTCTCTTTATTACCAGCCCTCATCTCTGACAGATGTGTACACAAACACATGCAAACTCTTGCACCTGCATGTCTGAAATTATATTTATATGACCTTCACTCTCTTAAAAGATGTCCTTGATGTGAGAGCCTTAATGGGACAAATGAACTGCTGCTCTCATTTTTATTTAAAGAGGTTACTCTTCTTAAGCAGATGTGACTAAAATTAGACATCTTTTACATTTTGTTGGTCAATCCGCAGCTACAGCTTGTGTTATGAATTTGTTATTATATACACTGTTTTTATAATAATACACGCACTGGTGGAAGATCGAGGCTGCAATCACCTGTGGCAATGCTGGAGTTCAAAACAGTCCATGTGAGTTCTAATGCCACCATCGCTGCTGAGCTTCCTGCTGCAACAGCAGCCGTTGTACCGTGAAGCTGCTGCAGCAGGAAGGAGGAATGTGGCCGAAGTTCTTTCTAGTCCTTATGTGCAGACATTAGCATGCAGATGATTAGATTTGTTTTTGTCATTGAATCTGAGGTCAGTTAATATAACTGACATTGTGAAATAGATTGCATCATCCACTTGCGTTGGCAATCATTTGTTTTGCCACCCAAGAAGTTTTCTTCTTCCTACCAAGAAAGAAGTTGTTTCTGTTTTTCAGATTTTAATAGACAATTAAGCTGAAACAAGAATTACAGTGTTACACTGTTTGTCAGCACGTGTCCTAGGTGTTAAGACTGTTAACAGAGTGATTTTGATGTCCTGCAGCTTCAGCTTTGACCTGATCAGAAAAATGAGCCCCCCCCCCCAGGACACGGGACAGTGATACACAGTGGAGTTAGGACCCTGAGGGGCCGTTTCCAGCTGTTGGGTCTGGGTCATCATTATAATCCCTGTCACAGGGGCATATGGCTCCAGAGGCCCCTCATCACCAACACAGCTTGCCTGTAATTCTGACATTAGGAGAATAAAACATCTAAGAACGAGAGTGTGCAGCCGTGCAGAATGAGCAATTATAGATAAAACGTTATTCCGAGGTTTGTCTTACCCCTGATTACTAAAGCAAATTGATTTCTCACCATCTCTATGACTCAGCCATCCAAAACGATGCGTGCTGTCAATGAATTCACCCAAAAGGAGCCAGAGCGGCTGGTTGGAGCCTGCTGTTTGGGCTACGCTACACGCTTCCTGGCTCTCGAGCACTCAGGATGTTAAACACTGTGACACATTTGTTCTTATCCAATCATTTCAGTCTTCCCTCTGTGGGAACGTGATTGGAAAAAGAAGAGGCGGTTTGCACGAACGGCTGTCTGAAAGCCGATGTTTGGCTCTTTCATACATGAGGACCTTTTATATTATTTTGTAATGGTGGATGTTGTGGCTGAGAGGCAAGCTGACGTCACCGATGGTGACTGGGAGGTGGTTGGCTGAGAGGTACAATACAGAACATGTCACAGGAGGAGTCTTGGTGTCACCTCAGAGTCCAGGGGAGGGAACGGAAAGGTTTTTGGTCAGGCGAAAAAGGGAGAGGGTGGATGAGATGAAACAAGGAGTTGGGGGGGGGGGGGGGGGGGGGTGAAGAGAATAAAAATGAGAGCCAAAGAAGGATTAAAGCTTGGATAAATAGATGCTGCCAGAGGAAAGTGTGACAGAATCAATTTAGAGACATTCTGCAGAGAGACAGTGTTGTCACTGAAGGGGCTGTCTTGATTTGCCCTCCCTCCCTGTCCCCCTTGCTCGTTTTGCACCCACCCACATGCACGTGTGCCCACTACTCCGCCCCCGTTTAACGCTGTAGCTGGACCTCAGGAATGCGCCGAGCCCAGCCAGGCGGCGGGCTATCAGCGGACCAGCGTGTTTCCGAGCACATGTGAAATGCAGAGGCAGCTCTCACCGCTGCATGAAAGTCGGGGCCAAGGTCGTGTGAATAATCAGAAGAGATCCATGTTGCTTCTGTGTCCTCGAGCAGGAAGGCCTCTCTCTCTGCCGACCCAAACTAGGATGCAGTTCCAGCCGTGCGGAGGATGAGATGGGTTGATAATGATCGCCCTAATCTGCTGCCTGAAGGTTCCTCACCAAGAATCGACAGACTTTGTTTGTCCTTTTTTTATCCAATAAGTAACATTTAGCACCACGGACTGATAGATTGGGGTCAGACTGACACATTGTGCCCAAATCAGCTCTTTTTTATGCCCATGTACAGCAGACTGTCTCCAGCTGCAGTTTGAATGTCTCTAAGGGGAACATGTTTCTTTTAAAACATCTTGTATAACTATGTCACTGATTTTAAAAACTACAATAAATTCCAATTGAACCGTCTGCCTGCTTATTTTGCTACATCCGTGAGACAGATAAACCCAATGAGGCATTCGTTTTAACGACTGAATGGATTGTTGCTCCAATTATCCGGCTAAATTCCTTCCTCACTTCCGTCCTCCTCTTCCTCCTCCGCTGTCTGTCTGATCTCAGTGCAGCTTTTTAGTTTGTTTTGGTTGAATCCGTGTTGTTTATTTGTGATGCTCTGGACCATGCAGCGGTTCTTCGCGTTAGTGTGTTGCAGACGCTGTGAGCTAATATTATCTGACTGGCTGATTCAGTTACTGGAGGACCAGCAGGCAGCACAGACAGAAAGAGACGAGGGCGAACTAGATTATTCAAAATCTCATTCAAATAAGGCGACAGCAGCACGAGATTATCTGTCCTCTCATTTATTCCTGCTTTTTAGTTGTAGATTCGTACATCTGGTCCTTCAGTGGTTTTAAGTCAGTACATGCAGCCGTGAGAAGGTATGAGAAGGCAGTCATTATAATGGGAGTCTGAATGGCTTATGGCTGTCCTGGTGTGTCGATAGGATCTTGTTACAGTTAGACTCATCAAGTGGGAAGAGAACAGGGTCAGGGTTCAAGTTCTGTATTCCAATTGTAGTTCTTTTGTTCGTTTATTCATCAGGTTACATTTGAGTTTGTTGTGTAAAGTGATGTTAAGGTTTCTCTAGTGCATAAAAATTGTGAATCATACAAGTAAAACATATAATCCTTCTTGTAATTGTCAGAAATCACAGAAATGAACCAAGAGAATCCAAACCAAAAGACGACACAAGAAGACGACCCGGTCCGTGGGGCGGAGGCTTTACCAGCAGCCCCAGAACCAGACGCAGCGCCTCCTGCCACTCATCCCTCCATCCTCCCGCCTCCAGCTCCCCTTCGGCCTCGGCGGCCACAGAGGAGCTCCAGAGTTGAAGGGTCTGTAGATATCTCAGAACCGAAATCTGAAGCCAAAGCTGAACCCACCTCAATAACTAACGAGAACGAGAACTCACCTGATGGTGCTGCAGCGAGCCACCCCAAACCCGCCTGCCCTGCTGCACTCGAACCTCCAGAAGAGCACGTGGGACTGAGTGCTAAGGCTGCTCCTAAGGGTCTGGGTCACCACCCGCATCCTGTGAGGGCTGCCTCGGTGCCCCAGCCCCCTCCCAGCAGGCCAGTTCCCTCTCACCTGAACCCACATGCACACAGAGCCCTTTCTGTGGCGGGTACTGCTGACACCGGGCCTCAGATTGTGGAGGACTTCAGGTGGGTTTCTTGACAGTCATTCTTCTCATAAAGAGTATCTTCAGATTTTCACTCAAGATTCAACTCTATTTACAAGTTGGAGGATATATTTACATTTTGAAATGGATGTATTGTGCAAAACTCACATTTTTGCATCATTTTGCCTTCCTCTATAAACACTCCAAACTTGAAAAAAAAACCATCCATCCTAAAACAAGCCATTTCAAAAGGTCCCTGTTTGTGATGTCACAAATGGGGAAAGTAGAATAGAACCACCACTCACATTCAAGAAAGAGCTGCTAATGGAGGGGCAGCGGCTCTACTGTGGCCCCTCCCAGATAACAGAGCTTCTCACCTTATAGAAGCCTGTTGGAGTTGGCCACACCCACCCATCTCCAGCTTGTTTCCTTCAAGTGACCAAGCCCTGAAATGGCTTACTCTAGAAGGTAATCATTTTATGTGAGAGGGATTTAGTGCAAAGAACTTCATAAACACCGTTTTTCATTAACTATAAAACTATTATAACTTAAAAAATCAAAAGTAAACTAAAAAATCATTTATATTAGATCAGGTTTTTGGGTGTGTGGTTTATGTAACTGTTGTGTATTTCAGATTTATTCTAAAGACTCTAAAATATGTTGCAAAATGCTCTTTGTCAAAATAGTTATGTTATAAAATGATGGACAAAAGTTTTAAAAAGTTCATTCTAAGACTGATTTCTAGAAGTTTCTATTTGTTGAGTCCACAGAAAACTATTTGCAGCTGTTAAACTTTAAAACATTATTTCTCCGCTACAGCTGAGAGGATTAACAATACCAAGTGGTTTTAAGCTTGCTACCAGTTTTTCAAGAAAGATGTTTGCTTTTCACGCACTCAAACATCTTATATGAAGAGATAAACGCCCTCTTTGCTGTCAAAGAAACTTCAACTTTAGTGATGCCACCATGCTGCTACTTTTTAACTGATAGCTTATCACAATTTTGTTCATTTAAACAAGTAAATCATCTCACATAATTGGAAATATCTAAATATGTTCACATTTGTAATAAGATAAAAGAAGGGTGTGTTATCCAGTGAGGTTCAGCTGTCTCGGCCCATAAGTTGTGACACAGGAGTGTGGCAGATGAGTGTGAGTTTATGTAACCGTATCCTCCATCAGGGTGCACATCATCACCTGGAACGTGGGCTCGGCCACGCCGCCCGATGACATCACGTCTCTGCTGGGACTAAACGTGGGTGACGGTAACACAGACATGTACATAATCGGGTGAGTGGGGGTCGCTGGATGTAAACTTATAGATAACATTGCCAACATGTGGATATTTTAATGTCGTCCCCACTAAATCACTGTTTTCTTCCGTCCATTTTTGCTCCATTGTGTCATTTTTCCTGTCAAGGCTGCAGGAAGTGAACTCAATGATCAACAAAAGACTGAAAGACGTCCTCTTCACAGACCAGTGGAGCGACGTCTGCATGGAGAGACTAAGCCCGTTTGGTTATGTTCTGGTCAGCAATGCCTTTTTGTTGATTTAACGTTCTAAATGAAATGCTAAGCACCTCAGATTTGCACACACTCCATTATCGCTGATGAGATCTCTGCTTCTTGCTGTTCAGGCTCATTTTGTTCCCTGAGCAACGGATGGTGTGATGACTTATAACAGGCGTGTAATGTCAGCGTATCTGCTATCCTCTGCTGCCTCCTGAGCTGGTAGCTCACAGTCGGTCTTTAGCGCTGCATGCATGTCAGCTAGTTTGTTAATGTCTATGTTTTTCTTTTCAAGAGCACACACACACGCTGCAGCTGTGTGTTGGTGTTACGCTTTATGCTTCAGAAACAAAGCTTGGCACAGTTGGCATGGTGAGCCACAGACAGTGAATAAGCTGTCAAGCTAAGAGTGCTGGACAAATGTCTCCCAGGGTGCTGTTTTATTTTTGGATCCTGTTGTCAGTGTTGAAGGGTGTCTGACAGTGAGACTGACACTGTCCTCCAGCTAGCTGCTAGGTTTGGTTTAACGCTCACTAAAATCATCCTGATGCCACTTCATCTGTTTCCAGTGAATACAGCAGTGCATGTTGGGTAAATCAGGAGCTTCTCAGCGACTCAAGGAGGTGGAGGGATGTTTCTAAAGTCTGCGTGAAGTTATGTCGTCCTGCCACAGTGGTGGACAGACACACAGTAACTAGACGCTCCCATCTGTTCTTTCTGCTTTTAGACGGTCTGCTCACTGAGGCTAATATTCAGGATGGAGCTGCAGCCGGCACCAGAAAGCTCAGTCCAGTCAGCTTTTTGCTGCTGCAACACAAAGCTTACAGGACAGTTTATCTTCTCCCGTCTGTTCATCGCACAATTACATCTGACTGTCACTAAATATAATCTGTTTTTGCAAGCTACAATTTATAATTATTAATGGAAACAAAGGACAATTATTTAGGTTTTCGGTACATTTTGATTCTGGTTTTGAGGGACGATGCAGATTTCTGATTCTTGTGTAACTTTGATCTACAGATTGGAATCTAGTTTAGAATACTTAAATACGAGAAACTCTGAAAAATGCGTTTAATGATTATTTCTTATTAGTTCTGTTAGTTTTGCATTCCTGCTGAACATGAAAATAGTCTCCTACACCTGCATTAGCTTCTGATGGAAAAGAGACGGTGAAACTCTGGGATTTGAAAAGCCTGACGGATCTACGTCGCCAAAAATTCTAATGAATGTGTTTCAGATGAATTGATTCCACTTGATGATTATTTAAATTTAAAGTCATGAATGCAATCTATAAAAATGTGTCTTCGCTTTTATGTAAAACAAAATCCTAATGGATGGTGTTTCTGGGGTCATTTGCATTAAAACTGAAATGACTTGACCTCCCCTCTAACAACACTTGTTTACTCACAGACACTTCCTGTCTTCAGTCGTGTTGTAGTCAGAAGAGGTCCACGCTTGCACCAGAAAATAAAGTCTTTATGGTTCAGTGGATTACATTACGCAACAAAGTCATTCAGATAGCCTGCTAGCATGCAGAAAAAGGGGCCTTGTCACGTGTGCTTCTTCTTATGCCTGCGAGGCTTTCAGTTTGGGTGTGATTGCACTTCTTCAGACTGAGATCGGGGTTGAGATGCTTAAAAGACTTGACAATGGGTGGGGGGAGGGGTGAACAGACATATCTGGAAATGAGTTTGACACAACATACAAATGCTTGCTCCACCTAAAATGTGCTAATGTCAGATTCCTGGTTGTTTTTACACAACACAAAAATTTCTTCTCTGTTTTTTTTTTCATGTCAGATGAGCGAAAATGTCATGATTTGCATATTTTAATGTAACACAACAAGAGTCAGGATGTAGAAGGAGTTTGTAAGGAAAGAAAAGTTCAACCATCAAGATCACTGCAGGCTTTGCTCACATTTTGGGTCCACTAGAAGCGGCAGCATCCTCGATGTGCAGCATGCCGTGTCAGGGGAGCAAGGCCACAGGGTCTGCAGGGCGAGTGCAGAGGGAGAACGAGGAAGAGCGTGAGAAAGAACCACAGTTAGTCAAATTTGTGCAGTTCTGAAGTGAATTTTATGTTCGTTCTCGTTAGAGGATCATGCAAATGATTTCTTTGTATGTTGTCTGCTGTATTTTATTACCACCCTTATCTTTCTCTTCTCTGTCCTTATTTGCCTACTTGTCTTTCAGGTGACATCACAGCGAATGCAGGGGTTGTTACTTCTCATCTTTGCCAAATATTTCCATCTGCCTTTCCTCCGTGGAGTCCAGACTGAGACCACCCGTACCGGCCTCGGGGGTTACTGGGTAAGATGGTTGCTGCATTGTGGGAAATTCACACAGAACCAAAAAAAAAAAAAAAAAAGGGAAAGAACCCTGAACTATATCTGTGTAATGGTTACCAAACCCACCATGTCCGCTCATCATTTGTTAGTGAAGTACTGATTCATCTGGTTTTTGGGTCCCGGTTGAACTTTTAAACCAAAACAGTGACATTGTAATGGGAAAGAGCAGTTTTTCACTAGTTTAATAAGAAAGCAGGCTGTAAGGGAATGATGTGATATTTCTGAGATCTGTTAGTACGTGACTTGTTGGTTTGATGCCGTTCCAACAACCTTAAACCATCCAGTCATATAAAAGGCTGGGTTGTATAACATGCTGCTCACTATTTTAGAAATAGACTCTTGATAATCAGATTTGCTTTTAAATAGTCCCATTATGATACCTCCACCACTGGAAACATTTCAAAGTGTTTTACTGGTTTATAAATAATTCCTGTTTACCATCCATCCATCCATCCATTTTTATCTGCTTATCCAGGGTCGGGTCGCGGGGGCAGTAACCTAAGCAAAGAGGCCCAGACTTCCCTCTCCCCAGCCACTTAGGCCAGCTCTTCTGAGGAATCCTAAGGCGTTCCCTGTCCAACTGAAAAACATAGTCCCTTGAACAGGTTCTGGGTCTTCCTTTAGGTCTCCTTCTGGTTGGACGTGTCCGGAAAACCTCACCAGGGAGGCGTCCAGAAGGAATCCTAACCAGATGCCCGAGCCACCTCAACTGGCTCCTCTCATTGTGGAGGAGCAGCGGGTCTACTCCAAGCCCCTCCTGGATGACTGAGCTTCTCACCCTGTCTCTAAGGGAGAGCCCAGACACTCTGCAAAGAAAACTCATTTTGGCCGCTTGTATTTGCAGTCTTGTTCTTTTGATCGCTACCCAAAGTTCATGGCCATAGGTGAGGGTAGGAATGTAGATTGACCGGTAAATCGAGAGCTTTGCCTTTCGGCTCATCTCTCTCTTCACCATGACAGATCAATTTCACCGCCCACATCACTGCAGACTCAGCACCAATCCGCCCATCGATCTCACGATCCATCTTTCCTTCACTGGTGAACAAGACCCGAGATACTTAAACTCCTCCACTTAGGGCAGGACCTCATCCCTGACCTGGAGAATGCATTCTACCCTTTTCTGACTCATTTTCTGTTTACCTGCAGATAAAAATTAGCATGTAGTTAAATCTGTTACAATGCACTCTTCTCATAAGAGTGCTCGTTCTCTGACTAATACAGGAACATGTTCTGAGAGCTAACATCACATTAATGACCACCCTGATCGTTTTCAGTTTTTAAAGACCTTTAGGTCAAATTCTCACCGTTTTGTCTACAATAAGCATAGTTCATGCTCAAACATTGTTTTATTGAGTCAGAGCCGTTAAGAGCAGAGTGGGAGAAAATCCACTGACTCATTTTGTGCCCCCGGTGCGCACTTGACTGTTTGCATAAAATATTGATGCTGTTCGGTATTTAATGAGGACACTTCCTGGTTTGCTGTGAAAAATACAACTAATTACTGCTCTTTAACTTTATTTACCAAAGATTATCATCATTTTGTATGTTGATTAATTATATTTTCTCTTCAGTAAAATGTCAACCAGATACAAACACTTCTCTTGTCATATTTAGTCATTTATCTGTTACAGGGTAATAAAGGTGGCATTAGCGCTCGTATGTCAGTGTTCGGTCACAGCGTCTGCTTCCTTAACTGCCACCTGCCGGCTCACATGGAGAACTCGGATCAGCGTATGGAGGACTTCGAGAGCATCCTGCAGCAGCAGCAGTTTGAGGGCCAGGCGGCCGTCGGGGTGCTTGATCATGAGTAAGACACACGCATGCATTACTCTTTCTATAGTAATATAATAAAAATGACAAATTCTCTGCAAGTTTGCAATTTTCAAATTTCCCACCCGATGCACTTTCATAATAAAATCATGTAACTTTTCATGCATGAGGTTGTATTGAGATTTTTCAGTCTTACTATTGATACACGACACAATTTCACTTCAGTTGATCCATTTTTAACTTTCACAGTTCCTGACTGTTCACAGATGAAGGCCACATAAAATCAGATTACATGTTATCTGATCAAAAAGCATTACACAACTTTTATCGCTAAAGACAACAATAACAGTAATCTGAGCTCTCATGCCGGATTTCTGCAGCCTTGTGGATAAAAGCAAACATTTTGCTCTCACTACCAGAAACTACAGAAGCTTTTTATTCTTGCAGCGAATTACAAGTCTTTCTCTCTCTTTTTTTTCATTTATTTTTTATTTTTTTATTTCTCCAGCCTTGTGTTTTGGTTTGGAGATCTCAATTTCCGTATTGAGGACCTGGATATGCAGGTTGTGAAATCAGCTATTGATAACAACAAGTTATCCATTTTGTGGGAAAAGGATCAGGTAAAAAGAGACGTTTTATAAATATGTTTAAATATAAAAAGATAAAACAAACTTAATTCATGTCTTTGTCAAAAGCTTTACACTTTACGCTGTAAAATCCTTGAATAACCTAAAATATACACAATTTTAAAGTTTAGCTCTGTGAATTAATTTGATTTCAACTATTTAAATGTTCTTTGTTGCCGCTAGAGGGTGACAGAGAGCCCTACTCTTTCATCTGCAAAACAACAGTTTCTTCTGATTGTTATTTTTGCAGCTGAACTTGGCGAAGGACAGTGAGACGGTGTTGGAGGGATTCCAGGAGGGGCCGCTGAAATTCCCTCCCACCTATAAGTTTGATGTTGGAACAGATACGTACGACACAAGGTTGGTGATGCCGGGGGTGCTTTTATCCTTTCTAGGCCACTGGTTATACATCACAGTACGAGTTATTACACTCTCCTCTCTGAAAGGTCTTTGCTAGCCTGAAGCGGGTGTGAAGACCTCTTTTTTTTTTATTTATGTTCAGTTTGAAAACACCTTATTTGTATCTTGTTGCTCTGTCGTTTTCTGCAACATCAGCGGGAAGAAACGTAAACCAGCCTGGACTGACCGGATCTTATGGCGCCAGAGAGCCACTGCACCTGCTGCTCCGAGCGTGGGGAAGCGTGGTTCGATTTCAGGGCTGACCAGCGGGATTAAAGTAATGCAGCATAGCTACCGAAGTCACATGGAATACATCATCAGTGACCACAAACCAGTCTCCTCCATCTTCACCCTGCAGGTGGGACACACCGGCACAGAGATCCTGTTGGTTTGCAGTTCCAGTAATAGCAAAAAAAAAAAAAAAACATATTTCTTTCTAAACTTCAGCTGCTGGATAAGATCAAATCATTTAGATCAGATAATATCTAAAAATACACCAGATGTGTGAATGTTTTAGAGGGAGTTTTACTACAGATTTTTATTTCTACTTTAAGGTAATTTTGAACATCTTTAAAATCTTCTTTGCAGTTTCCTTACAGGGTGGATGTGCCACTGGTCACCATCATAGTGGAGGATGAGTGGAACAGTATTGAAGATGCAAAAGCAGCATTCAAACTGGCGCCCAACTATTCTCGCAGCTCCTGGGATTGGATTGGATTATACAAGGTAATGTAAAGAAGCTGTAGGAGAACTTGTTGAAGCACACCAACATGTGGAATATGTGTCAGCATCATTTTTTTGTGATGTTGCTGTTGGTCCCACAGGTGGGTTTCAAGCACCACAAGGATTATGTGGGCTACGTGTGGGCAAAGCAGGAGGAGTCTGACTTTTATCGGCAGGAACATCAGGTATCTCTGGGTGCTTGCGGATCTCTTCTGAGATTATTTTATTCCGTCATGTTTGATAAACATCTGAAAAACTGTTTTTCAGGTAATCTTTACAGAGGAGGAATTACCCAAAAGCTCAGGGGACTTTATCTTGGGTTACTATAGCAACAACATGAGCTCCATTGTGGGCGTAACAGAGCCATTTCAGGTAATCACAGCCCGTATCTTTTTTCTTGATTTAACGATCATGAAAAGCTTTTACAGCTGATGGCCACATTTTTACACTTTGGGCGTATTTCACAGCTCTTTCATTTCGTTTGTCCTTAGATCCAGCTTCCCACTACGGAACACGACAGCAGCTCTTCAGACAGCTCTGACTTCAGCTCAGAAGATGACAGCACTGTTGTCATGAAGATGAGGTCCCACAGCTCCAGCCCTCAAAAAGGCAAAGCCGGCAGCCATCGGAGCGGCAGCCGCAGTCACTCAGGAAGCCGCTCTGGCAGCCCGACCCAGGCCCAAATAAAGGAGCCTGTTACTGCTGACGGCGCCACCGCAGAGCGCAAGTCTGCAGGAGGTCCAGCAGAGGGCAGCAGCACTCAGCAGTTCAGACCTGGGGAGGAATCAAGAAAGTGATACAACACAGAAGCCCTGTTGTTGTTACAGGTTACATAACCAACTGTTGTCTTTATTCCATACATCCACTACACTGTATGACTAAAAACATACAGTTAGTGATGCCATATGTTTCAGGAACAATCATCTGGTTTGTCCAGATGGTTTAAATGGCCTTGAGTTTAGTATTTTGTTTATTTTTGAAGATGTGTACTTTGCATGTTTGCTTTTATTTGTATACCCTTCACTCTGTCCAGTTATTACTCTACCTTTGTCCGTTCTCAGGTATGGACAGAACAGGGAGCTGACGGCGAAATTAGAAATCACTCAAACGATGTAAGAAGTGCTTACCGTCACCATTCAGGAAGTGGTTTAAAGCTGTGCACTGATTACCTAAACTGGTCAGGAGAGTCCAAATAAGTAACATGGAGTGTGACAAAATTTACACTTGGTCACATAACATTTCTCTCATCATCACTCTAATTCCTCTCTGGGATTAAAAAAGTATTTTTGAATTTGAATTGAATTGAATCTGTCAGAGAACTGTTTAGATAAAAAGCTTCATATAGTTTATTTCCAGCTTTGTCAAAAATAGCAAGTTTCTGCGAATGGAGAAAGCCGTACGATTAGATGATATGGTTGTGGTTCGTTTAGAGCACACAACGTCTATTACACAGAAAGGATTTTAAAGGAGTAGCATCCGTCCTGGAACCAGAAAAGCGAGCAGAACCAAAAGTTGAGATGATATTTGGGAAAGTTCAGATTAGCACTGCAACAGTGAGCGCAAGGGCCTTTAAGTAGACCACCAGGATAAGATGGGTGTCAGGGGTGATGCCAGCTGTTTACAGCACTGCTGTCCTGCCAGAACCGAGCGTTGGCCACTTCCTGCAGGCTGGGCAAACTGCAGCAGTGCCTGACCCGGTTCACCATGACCTGCTTTTACACATCCACTCTATACTTGATTTTAAGCCAATCCACAATGCAAACACACACTGTTTGATTGCATCTTTAATATGCATGAAAAGTGCAGCTTTTTAATCATGTTTTCATGTTTTAACCCCCCAAAAAAGACAAATTTAATCTGGGAATTGTACAAAAATCACCACAGGGATTTCTATTGGGCTTGATATAAATGCTAAAACACTCAATAACACAATGCTAAAACTTTCTGTTGAATTGGCCTCAGCGCTTTGCTTATTTAGAACTGATAAACTCTTCTTTTATCGTATCGGGTCACCATGTTTATGTTTTTTTAATTCACACCTGTCCCTAATAATCCTGACTAACAAAAATCTCTATTGTTGCATAATTACTGTGTGACCGTTTTCTGTTCGGACAAGATTGTGGGTGTAATGTGTTTAACCTGTATGTGTGTGTGTGTGTGTGTGTGTCGTGGATGCTGGAGGTGTGTGAGTGTGTGAAAAACTGCTATTGAAGGGTGACGGGGTTGTGTTTGCATGGTTTGCTGCTGGACACACTGTACATTCCGGTACTGTGGTTTTCGTGCCGTGAAGTGCTGTTTTTGACTCCTCTTTGTCATATTTGTGACTGTGAAAGTTGTTAGAAAACACAATAAGGACAGTATGAAATTTAAACTTCGGTGTAAGTGTTAGTACTAGAGGTAAAGGGTAGTCATACTTGGATCAAATCAAATTGTTGAAATATTATAGTGAATTCAGAAACTTCTTTTGATTAAAAATAAAAGAATGAATCTTAAATTTGTTAGAAACTTCAGATAATTTAAGTATGTATGTTCAGTACTACATTCATGACAAATGACTATTGTTAAATGTCTACTGTTTTGTAATTTTGTGGCTAAGATTTAGGAAAATGTATGTAAAGAAAAAAAACGCGAGGTTTGTTAAAAATATCAAATATATATAATATATAAATATAAATAGAAGACAATCTGTACCACAGATTATTTTCCTTAAATTATGTATTTATTTTCTTATTTAACTTTTAAATGAGCCTGAATTCTGCTGGGCAGTGACGAGCTTTATTTCAGGGCAAATATCGAGATAATATTTGAGATATTTATTATTTTCTTTGTCTTTGAGGAATTGTATTGAGAGATTATTTCTTCTATTTCCATCATTCAGATCCTGCTTTTGCCATCACAAGTGTAGATTTAGTCTACATGTGTTTGTATAAATGTGATTCAAATATAATAACAAATTAACAAACCTGTGAGAGTTTGATTGATGGTTTATCAAGATGTTTTATCTCTGTGACATTGTTGAATCAGAGCATTCAGAACGTTGTTCTGGGTTCTACTTTGTTCTCCAACCCCAAAGTTAGTCCAATGCTGTCCAAAGAATAAAATGTCTACTTTTAAGCTGTGCTTTCTGGTCATTTATTCCATTTGAGTATAGCATCATGATCAGAATATGAATATAATTTGCATGAAAGTGCTTTTCTCAAAACAAACAAGGGCGATGTCATATTAAAATAAAATCTGCTGAGTCATTCTAAGTTGTCTTTCAACCCAATGTGATGTTTAGTTTGTTTGCTAAAGCTTTTGTATAAAAAGGGCATGTCAGATCAGTCCTTACAGCGCCTCACCCACAACCCTAACTGCACATTTGTGATTGATTGCCATCGCTAAACGAGGCCATCACTTCAAATCAAATCAAATCAACTTTATTTATATAGCACTTTTCATACAAAAAATGCAACTCAAAGTGCTTTACAGATTAAAATGGCCCCATAGATCCCACAGCCCCCCTCCCGAAGTATAAAACAATTAAAAATTACGGTTCCACTCCCGCATCCAACTTCCAAAGTGGACATACAATCACCCGCACACTCGTCCATGCACACACACTCGTGAACACCAGAGGAAACAATAGGCTGAGTTCAGATGGGTCAGGTAATTAACGACACATCATCAGCGGAGCCATCTGCCCTGGCAGCAACAGATCCACGGCAGCAGCCAAGACATTGGCCCATGACGCCCAGTGGCGGAGGGAAGAAACCCCCACCACTGCCCGGGCACTACCCGAGGAGCGCCCCGGCCGCCGCCGCCCCTGACCACCGGCCCCAAGGCAGAGGGCTCTGCAGAGGAAACACTGGAGGATTTAAGATATATAACATGCAAAATAATAAAAGCTAATATTGATAAAAAGTGATTATAAAGATAGTAAAAGAAAACATAATCATGTAAAAACACTAAGATGTAGATAAAATTAATTAAAAGAGATAAATATGTATATATAGATAAATGGTGATCAGTTAAAAGCTAAGCTAAAAAGGTGGGTCTTGAGCCTATTCTTAAAAGCCTGGACGTTCCAGGACTTATTAAGTTCAGCTGAACAGATGAGAGCAGCAAACGGCAGCACATCCTGCATAGAGCAACATCAGGTGCATCTTGCATCATGTTTCCTCCCATTGAAACAAAAGCGTCTATTCTGCAAATTCATGCTGACTGGACCACAATGATGCAACACTGCTCAGGGATTAAGCTGCTTGGTTGAGTGGCCTGAAACCCAATGAAAGAGAGTATTAATGGAAAGCAGAAAGGATGCTGTGCCAAATTATAACAGTAAAAGCCGTGAATTTATTAAGTTTTCAACATCTGAAGATGCCATTGTGTACTAGATGAGTTTGAGGCCAAATATGAGGACTGACCGCTTTTATAAACATTACAGTGAAAACTATCCAGTCATCTATTCAGCAGGAGACTGTTTCTCTTTTTTTAATGTTATTTAAACATGCACAAGAGTGAATAACATGCAAAAAAAAAAAAAAAAAAAGAAAACTAGTCTCACATTATTCAAAATGAGTGGCTTCAATAATAAGCTTGGTGCTTCCCCCATTAAAACCAAACATATATAGGTTTACTAATTCCATTGTTCCTAAACAGGACGTACATATGTTTGAAATCCAGAGTTTCTTCCAAACCAACAGTTATCTTACTTGAAACTAAAGTTTACAGTTACAAAAACATCAATTTACTAAATCTCCAGGCTAAAATGATACATCGTCTCTTTTGATCATGTTACACAAACAAACCCAAGGGACAATAGGAGCACAAGAGCTTTTAAAGTGTATTATAACAAAATTATTGTCTTAACATAATGTTATCTGCATCTGTTCTTTCCAGAGGCTGGTTTTCCTTTTGCAGTGGATATAGATCTGTATCCATCTGCAGCAAAGTGAGATCTGGACAGGTTAATCTGGCTGTGTCACCACACACTCACATGTTCTGTTGTTTGTATATCTAAACACAATTTATCAGGGTAGTTTATGTGAGCTCTAGTTTAGGACTAACTCTTAGTGGTTCCAATGAAACTTTGTTTTTATTTTTCTTCTCTCATTCTATTTTTAAAGTTTTTGATCTTGTGTGTATAGACTGAAAATGCTACAATCCTGCTGGAATTATCAGATGTAAAAATACTAGCAATGAAAAGCAACATGTGTGAGGAAGTCATGTGTAAAGCAGAATTATGACTCAGAGCTAACACCTGAACACATAATGCAAGAATGGAAAGTTGATTCATTATAGTTAGAATTCAAAATTTCAGATACAATTAACATATCGATGTCCAACATGTGCTATCCATCCTGTGTACAATTAACATTTCAAAAATCTTAAGTACTTTTTTCTTCTTGCTTATGCTGTCTTTTTTTCATTTAAAAAAACAGATAACTACATTGCTGTTGCTGCGTGTACATTTCATTTTAGATCTCTAGTTTTAAAAATCTTCCAAGCGCTCCTAAAATAGCCTTGTTATAATGAACATTAGTAAAAATGTAATTAGTAATTGAAATATTCAATGTTCATGATGACCAGCTGACAAGCTAGTAACCATTAGTAAAGAATAGTAACCATTTAATTATGAAACTCAACCCATTTGAATTCCTATTAAAATGTGGTAAAATTATCTAAACAGGGAATTTAAATTGACGTTTCCTGTGGTAAGAACTTTATTTCATAAATACACTTTTTTTCCTCTAGATAAGAATAATTTGGATATCTGGAACTGCAGCTCAATAGACATGGATCCTTGGAAGAATCAGTCAAGATATTTGACTTGTTGATAGTGAATAGGAATGTAGCATTTCCTATCTGGATGTTTAATTTTTGCTGTATTGTTGGATTTACAAATAAAACAATATTTTTTTAAATAGATGTTGAAGTTTTCCAAAACATAGAATGCCGATGTTTTTCACTTTTTTACTGACGAAAATATTGCTAAAAATGTTGAATAAAAGTGGTTTTATCCAGCTGCCTGCCATAAGTAAACGCATTTTTATATTTTTTCCTGTGAAATCCTAAATTTGATGATGACTCAAAAAATATGTTAGGGTTAAAGGTTCAACCCAGTGGTTCAACCATCGGGGTTCAACCCCAGAGCAGCTCTGGTTCAACCTTTATTTCTCTGCAACGGTGTATAAGCACGTGATCCCCATCATTTCTTGGATTGCGCAACCTTGGTTGCAATGGAGTGCTGTCCCGTGATAGGCTCATTAACAAGCACCTCCCTCTGTTACGTGATGACGTCGCCTTGTCAGGATAAATAGTGGAGCACTGCGCCAAGAGACTCAGTTTAGAGGGAGGATCGTCGATCGACTGAGGTTGTCCCTTCTCACATCGGTTAACGCCACATTTAAACATACTTGATACCATCGAAACACTTTCCCAGATATATCAGCCGTAACCATGATGAACGGAGAGATGAACGGTTATCATAACTCCCGTATCGAGGAGGACTGCTTCTTATTCACCTCAGAGTCGGTTGGAGAAGGACACCCCGGTAAGACATGGCACGCCGGCCTTTTGTCGTCTCTTAGAGTTAATAGCGTTGGTGAATGTGACTTACATTAATTTAGTTATTCCGTCGCATTTTAAATTTCAATGAACATTTTTTTATGTGTATCAGTAAAATGTAGTAGTAAAGAGTAGTTTAAACAGTCGTGGCTAGCAGTTACGGCCTCTAGCACTCAACTGGGCCGGTCTCTAAAGCACGCGCTAGTAGCTAACCGCATTCCAAGTCTCGTGGGCTATTCTTAAGGACCACAAGATATGACTGCTAACGTTGTTAGCTGGCTATAACAGTTTAACACTAGTTACGTTGTTTTTACGCAAATATAGTTTGCTCAGTGTTCTTATGTAGTATAGAGCATACATCGTGGTTACCTTCCGGTCTCGAGTCTAGTTGCGCGCGCTCCACTCCACCACATGTTCAACTGCTGAAATGGCGATTGTAACATGACTCGGCTATCTCCCTGAACTTCAACTGGACCTATTTTGTATCCATTCGTGAGCGGCGTGTTTTATGTTGGTTTACTGCAGTTGGTCATCAATTTAATATTTTGTTTTCAGACAAGATCTGCGATCAGATCAGTGATGCAATCCTAGATGCTCATCTCAAGCAGGATCCTGATGCTAAAATTGCATGTGGTACGAAATGATTTAATCATATACTGATATTAAAACGCGTTTAGATTTGCTCCTCCCTGTACTGATTTGCTTGTATTTATGTTGCTTGATGCAGAGACTGTTGCCAAGACAGGCATGATCCTGTTGGCAGGTGAAGTAACGTCGCATGCAGCTGTTGACTATCAGAAAGTTGTGCGTGACACCATCCGCCTAATTGGATATGATGACTCATCCAAAGGTATGACATGTTTCTTTCCTGTTATTAAAGTGAGATTTTATGTTGTAGATTGTGAATTATAACTGTCTTCTACACAGGGTTTGACTTTAAGACCTGCAATGTGCTTGTGGCTTTGGAGCAGCAGTCTCCCGACATCGCTCAAGGTGTTCACATTGACCGCAATGAGGAGGACATTGGTGCTGGGGACCAGGTTTGTGGTATAGAAAATGTTTTTGTGTGTTCTGAAAATAACGAGTATTAAGTTCTGTCCCAAACTCTGCTTTGTAGGGTTTGATGTTTGGATATGCAACCGATGAGACTGAAGAATGTATGCCGCTCACAATTATCCTTGCCCACAAACTGAATGCCAAGATGGCAGATCTGAGGCGCAATGGCACCCTTCCATGGCTTCGGCCAGACTCAAAGACACAGGTAGATTAGTAGTCTTAGTTACTGCTCAGGATTAGTTATATTTATCCATCCGTGCATTTTAGGACATTTCATCGAATGTATTGGCAGTAGCTAATGTTAAAAATGCCAGATTGAGAAGTTTCCATGTTTATTTTTGGGTTGTTTTCTTATGTTTTTCATTTTTGTTGCAGGTGACTGTTCAGTACCGGCAGGATCGTGGTGCCATGCTCCCCGTGCGAGTGCACACAATTGTCATTTCTGTTCAACATGATGAGGAAATCTGCCTGGAAGAGATGAGGGACGCTCTGAAGGAAAAGGTCATCAAAACTGTTGTCCCCTCTGTGTATTTGGACGATGACACCATTTACCATTTGCAACCCAGTGGGCGTTTTGTAATTGGAGGTCCACAGGTAAATGTCTTAATGTGACTTTAAAAACTTTTTATAATTGCCTTCTATTGCTAAGTAACTACTTCTGTTACAGGGAGACGCTGGCCTCACTGGACGTAAAATCATTGTAGACACCTATGGAGGCTGGGGAGCCCATGGTGGAGGAGCCTTCTCTGGTAAAGATTACACCAAAGTGGATCGCTCCGCTGCGTATGCTGCACGCTGGGTGGCCAAATCTCTGGTGAAGGCTGGGCTCTGCAGAAGAGTGTTGGTTCAGGTAAGCAGTTGTATCTGAATCCACCTGCTGTTATCTAGTGAGGGGTTCCCCAAGGTTCCTGTCTGGAGTTTTCTGTTCTTATGCTTGATATAAACGATCTCTGTGCTGTATTAGGTGTCCTATGCCATTGGAGTCGCCCATCCACTCTCCATTTCTATCTTCCACTACGGGACCTCCAAAAAGAGTGAGAGAGAACTGCTTGATATTGTGAGGAAGAACTTTGACCTCCGTCCCGGCGTTATTGTCAGGTAATGCCAATCTTTGATGCTAAATGAAACTGCAGGTTAGAAGGGCCTTTTAAGTGTCTCCCTGTGCCCTCCCTACTATTTATCCAATTTCTATCTTTTAGATTAGTCTTAGAAACCTAAAATACGGCAAACCCCTACTTTTCTGATATCAGAAGCTGAGTAAGTGTTCAAAGTTGATTTTCTTTCTCTAATTAAGTTGCACGTAATACATTTAGATGGACATTGAAAGAGAGAATGTTGTTTATCCTGTAAAGAGAAGCTATACAGCTCAGGGAGATGAATGTTGAGGATGAGGGTTCTTCTGCAAACATCGGTCCAGTTGGTGGGCGGGGTAAGTGTTGAAGCTTCACGGTTACACTTACCCAGCCAGGCTCCTTCACACTCCCCGTGGCCGATATAAGCATGAATGTGTGTGTTAAGCCAACATGTGTGATTGCTGCTAAAGATATTGATTATGTATTCCAGGGATCTGGATCTGAAGAAACCCATTTATCAGAAGACTGCAGCCTACGGCCACTTTGGCCGAGACTCCTTCCCATGGGAGCTGCCCAAAAAGCTCAAATACTAAACCTGTTAAGCTTTTCCCCCTAGGCTTGTTGGTGTATACTACAGAGAAGCCTCCAAGGTTCCAGGGGTGAAATGCACTTCTCTCCCTTTCTCCTTCTCTCTTCTCAAAATATGACACATGACTCCATTCTTACTCCACTTCCATCTTTGTCTTGTTAACTTTTTTTTGCTGGTTGGGCAATCATGCTGGATGGTAGGAGGCATGCCTCAGACTCGTTTTTCTTTTAATGGGATGAGTTCCATGAACTCACACCTAGTGGTATTTTGTTTTAGTCTTGAAGTCCCTCTGCTTCTTTTTGTCGTAGTGTAGCTGCATTCAGTTCTCCTTCGGCATTCCACTCTTGTCAGTAGTATAAGTCGTCAACTTGATGTCACAATGGTAGCGTATTTGGCAATATGCGACGCCCTTCTCACTTCTATGGTGCTATTGAATTTAGAGAGCCAACTTGATATCTAAAATATTGGTATCGTGTATTTAAATGTGTAATTTCATAGTTGGGAGTCCAGTTTCCTGCCACTAAACCCTTCAGTTTGGTTTCTTTTCAAACATTCCTCTTACTTTTGTCCCGATTGTCTCCTTTGTTGGGTTTATTTCCTTGTCTTCGTGGAGGATGGTAGAAAGGCACAGATAAAATTCAAGGGTTGTTGCTGTCTTTACTAAAAATGCTATGCATTTCAGGCTAAGGAACAAGCCAAATCCTAATGATACAAGCTCAACTGAGCATAAGATCTCACATGCCTCTCCAGTCCTTTGCTGTTTTCTGACGTAATACAGAAAAGTCAGAAGCTGCTATGTCACTGCTCTGGTCTGCAGAGGTATTTGATATACTTGATATTAATGGAAAATTAGCTTGTTTATGCATTAAAATGCAGTTTTTAAACTAGCCATTTTTAAATGTTTCCCTTGTTTTTTATGGTTTAGAAGTGACTAAAGATTCTTGTTCTCCTGAAGTATTGATGGCAGGTGTAGCTACAGAGAAACCTGTTTCCCATCTTTATCGAAGGAGCGTGCTCTTTTCCACCAAGTCTTATTGGCTAGGAATCAAATCGCAACACTATTTATTTGTTCTCTGAAACCCGGCGTGGATACAGAGAAGCCGGCGTTTCAGAAGGCAGCTTTAAACAGACTCGGTTTTTGACTCTTGAATTCCTTTTACTTGATCATTTTGGTGTTTGGCTCGAGGCCCCAGAGTGTTGTACAGAAAAGCTTTGGTGTGCCTCAGGAACGTGTCACTGGTAACTAAGATTTTTTTTTGTTTATTTTGAAGTTGCAGGTTTTTTATTTTTTTTAGGGTAACTTAAAGTCCGACTAAAATGCCCAGTGCAATTCTATAGCTCTTACCTATCTACATTAATGAGATGGCAACATTTGGTTGGTGTAGTACAGAGAAACCAGCCCTGTTTACACAGCCTTCTCATTAATTGGGTAGTTTAGTTTTTCTTTTGTCCCCCTTTACCACTCAGAGGTCATCCCATGGGATACAGTAAGTGTAAGAGTGCCTTTTTCTTTTCCTCCGGTCCCATTTCCTTTCCTCTCTCCACGTCAACATGCATCTGACTTCTATAGAAATCAGTAGCTCATACTGTAATGTATTAATGTCTAGACTGCATAGTTTGCTGATTCCCTGTAATAAAATAGCTACTCATTTCAAATGTTTGGTCTCAGTTTTTCTTTTTAATTGCAAGTATCAATACTGCTGTGCTACCTGCAATCTAATTTACTGTAAAGCTTGTCCAAATTAGATAAGTATTTTATAGTAATATTAGACTATATAAATATTTGGTATGTGCAGTTATATCTCTGCATTTTAACGTCTGTTTATCATGTGGTGAACAAGGATGTGGTTTACAGGTATTGAGGTGTGCACACACCCTTATTAACTTTTAAAAATGAATGCAGAGTTTCAGGAAGTTGCATCAAAGGAAGTTCAGATGTTTTAACAAATATTTCAGTAGAAAGTTCATTAACAATTTTATTGATGCTGAACACAGGGGTTTATTGGCTTATGCCTTATGCTGGGATTATGTTTTGGCCTGAGAAAAATAACTGATTGTTTCAGGTTCTTCAAGAGTTTGTTTTGTGTAAATCCAATAAAGAATATAATTATTTTAAACACCATGTTGAGGAGAAATGTCCAGTCAGTTATTTTCAAAATTACATTAAAATTTTGCATGTTAATACTCTATAATCAACATGCTAGATGATTATTTGCTACCCAAAATAACATTCTACAGGCCTTATGGAAACCAAGGGTAAAAATTGGAGAAGATTTTAAATTCTCTTTGTCTTTCCACTGAGATAGTTTGTGGATTTGACGTGTGCACGGCTTAGGTGGAGTGCTAAATAACTGAATGTTTTTAAGGTCAAGTTAAATATAGAAAATTGGGAGGAATTAAGATATGTTTCTATTTCATTAGTAGCTTTATTTTAACTGATCAAATTCTGATACACTATTAATTTCAGTTAAATTAATCATTCATAAACAATCAGAAAACGTATGCATTCAAATTTCCAATAAAAAGATTACCTCATAAATTTGGAGGTGTTTTACTTTTTGTTCTATAAAATAAAGAGCTCAATCCTCCATCCATAGGGGGATTAAAAACTATTGAAGAAAAATTATCAATTTTGTTGAAGTAACATTCCAATTCAAATGTACACCCCGATGGAAAACTGGTGGCTTAGTATTTAAAATTTAACAAACTGAAATGTGAATATTTAAGTCAAGTATTTAGTCCAATTTACAGAAGTAGAAAAAACATTGGACATTTCTTAGAGCTAGCCCATAGGTGGGCCGTTTACAGCGGTGTACAATAATCCTTAAGGATCTTTATCACAACAAGACCCACACAAGCGAGTGTATTTCCCTGAACACTGCCTATACATGTCATCTGTCATGTCCTCTGTGGTGATATGTCCAATCAGAGTCTTGACAGAAAATTCTGGAAACTTCATTTGCTTGTCCTGGTCTGGCAAATCGTAACCACACTTTTAGCTGCATTATACACACTGTTGTGTTCTGCTCCATAGTCAGAGCAGATATATAGTAACTGCTGTAGACCAGCTGTGATTGGACTTAGAACCACTAAATCATCTGCATATAGCAGATGATTTATGACAACATCAGCTACACGACCAGTCCTGCAGGCACACACTGATAAGTCATCCATGTACAGGTTAAAAAGAAGGGACTCCATTACTGACTTTAAATGGCTCTGAGATGCTGTCACCCCATTTTATCTGTGACATTTGCTGACTATACCAATAAACCAGGATGTGTTTGTAGCAGCGTTATGAATGGTTAACTATCTAATGCCTTGGATGCATCTATGAAGCACACAGAGACTGAGGAGTTCTGGTTTCTGTATTTGGTCACCATCTCCTTTAGAGCATATGTCTGTACAACTCCAGCAATTATTGTGAACATTGAGGTCAGTGAGCTACATTCATAAGTCAGCTTTATCTGGCGAATGTGGAATCCACATGCTTTAAAGTGAACTTTGTATTTGAATGCAGAGATTAGCCTCAAAGGAGCAGAAATGCTTATTCACTGGATTTTCAATGGATTTTCAGCAAGAACATCTTGGTACTTTAACACGTACTCAATGACCTGTAAATGCAGACGAACTCTGTAAACCCTGTTCTGGGAGCATTAAACGGAAGATACCATTATAACGTGTTATTCACATACAGTGGATCCCATTCACAAAATTCTTCATCTTCTATACCTCACAAGATAAGTCCTCATAATGTTATTATCAAAGAAGTTTGTAACACACAAATGGATGTGAATAGAATCAAAAGCAGAGAAACTGAAAACCTGCTGTGCTGAATGAACCAATATTACTGATAAAATAGAGAATTAGGTTGAAGTCAGATCTTTGAAAGTTTTTCTGATATGCTCAAGGACGGCAAATAAAGATTTGTTCAATCAATAGTTCTGAAACAAAGAACCTGACAAGATGACTACAAACGCCACGAGGCCAGATCCATGTCTGAATGTTGCTGATTATCTTTGGAAGGTTATGGAGCAATTTGATAAACTGTGCTTCCATATTTGTTTGTTTAAAGAATTTATAATAAAACCTCAGACCAGCATTTTAATGTTCTCTAATGGAAACCTTTGGACAGCTTAAATGGTAACAAACACAAAATATGCATAAAATAAAAAAGTGCTGAATTGATTATTTAAACAACTTAAGTTGTTCACCCACATTCAACGATGATTTCACAGTAAATGGACTGTTTTTGATATTGCACATTCTAGAGTCCCAGAACCCTCCAAGGAGCTTTACAACAGAGTCATTCACCCATGCACACACACACATTCACATCCTGATGGTGATGAGCTACAATGTAGCCACAGCTACCCTGGGGTGCACTGACAGAGAGACGAGGTTGCCGAGGACTGGTGCCACTGGTCCTTCCGACCTTCACCATGTTTACAGACTGACTGATGACATTTATGATGAGTCACAATAAACATGGAAGTGTCAAAGACAGCAGTGATAAAGGTTACGGCTGGCGTTTATACAATCACAGGGGTTGAAGGTTTGTGCAACACAACCAGGCACCGTGACATATTAACACAAAGCTTAAGTGCACAATATAACACCCTCAATACGTTTTACGTATAACTGAGGTTGTATTTATAGTTATTTTCAGATGGAGCACGAATCAAACTGAACATTTAAGAGACAAAAAGACAGTCAAAACGGTTTTATCAAAAAAAAGAAAAACAAGAAAGGGGAGTGTAACTGTGATGAAATGGATTCCAGTCATTCACACCTGAGAACAAGCTTTAAAATATTCCAAGGCAAGTTTGGGCTTTCGACACTAGTACACCCTGAAGGCAGAAATGAAAATCGTTGTTGCCCACGTATACAGTTCAGAGCAAAAGTTTGAGGAATTTTACAAAAAAAATTATTAAAGTGAGTTGATCAAAGACTGGTCGATCTATGTTCCAACCCTTACCTAGGGTCACGAACTTTGGGTAGTGACCGAAAGAAGGACATTGCAGATTAAAGCGGCTGAAATGAAAGTTTTCTTTTCAGGGTGTCTGGCTCTCTCGGAGATAGGGTGAGGTCAGTCGTCTAGAAGGGGGAGCCAGTTGAGGTGGCTCAACTATCTGGTTAGGATGCCTCCTGGACGCCTCCCTGGTAAGGTTTTCTGGGCTCGTCCAACTGGGTGGAGACCTAAAGGGACACCCAGGACATGCTGGAGGGACTATATGTCTCACTGCTGGCTAGAAAACGCCTTAGGATTCCCCCGGAGGAGCTGACCCTGGTCGCTGGGAGAGGGAAGTCTGTGCATCTCTGCTTAGACCAATGCCCCCAAAACCCGACCCAGATGAGCAGACGATAATGGATGGATGGATATTAAAGTGAGTTTAAATAAACTAGTTTCCTGAAGCAGGAAACACTAATGATGGTTCTCTTTTTACTCCATTTCTCCATAAAATTAAACTGATTCTGAAATAGAGGCGAATCAATGCCGTTTACCCAGGAGATGCTTTGGAAAAATAAAAGCAGAACAGTAAAATATTAATGATGAGTCCATTTTATTCATGAAAAAGTGAGTAATTTCTCGAGAAATTATTACTTCATCTATTTTGCAATGCTTGACTCTCATGCACAAATATATGTATGACACACACTTTAACAATAAACAGCTTGCTTCATTAAAACTGCAGAACTGTCTTGTAACTGACAGGAAACACACAGCCTAACACCCAGAAACCTCTCCCTTGTGAATGGCTACATGTGCACCTCCACCATGAAATCAGCTGCTACTCACCTCTATAGTTACAGTACACCCGGCTATAAGTAGAGCTCTAGTGACGGCGTCAAAGGCCTCAGAGCAGCTACAGCAGGTGTGCATTTTCACTACCACCCTGGCCCCATCTATATTTAACTCAATGTTTGTGGCCTGCACTCCCAAAGCCATGAATGGGCAAGATCAGCCACCGCTACGACATGCAGCACCACTGATAAAAGCTGCTGGTTGGAACCTTCTACTGGTCTGTATATCCAGAGCCAGGCATGCAATGACAACTGTTCAGCTTTTTGCAATATGCACGACATCCTTTCACTCAGATGAAATTAGACATTCCCCACCAATCAGAAAGCTCTGATCTGTTCTTAGCTCTCAGCTGAGACAAAACCACGAACATGATCAGTCCAAAGGCCTCACGCTGTATTCTCACACCCAGTGACAATGAGAAGGGCAGGAGGATTTTTTGCAAGGATTAGATGACAGCTGATGCAACATGTGCAGGAGCTTGCACCAGCGCCCCTGTTAGGTTTTTTATTTTGCAGGAAACTGGAAGAAATCTTTTACATTTAAAAACGTTTGTATTAAAACAAATGAATCAAATGTGCTCCAGATGGTTCATGTCATGTAAAGCGAAGCTTTAAGTTCGTGGCTCATTTGTTCGTTACAAAGAACACAAGATTTGGTCGGATTTGAATGTTGATTACAAAGGAGAAGCTGATTACGTGTGTACTTTTGTAACCTGCTTTTGTTTGGTCCAGCGTTATGCAACCAGGTTTTCATTGGTTTTGTGATTCTTAATTCATTCTTTGCACATTGCTAATCTAAATTCAGTTTGTGACTCACTCTGAACACCAAACCCTTGGCTCTGAGGATTTGTCTTTTGGCTGCAAGATATTCGTACACAAAATGTCCTTATTGCAAAGTCCTTTTGGAACAGCAGACCGTCCAAATTGCCTTTGAACACATTTATTTGCAATCAAAAGAAGAAAGAGGAAAGAACAACAAGAGAAACATGTGCAAATGATTTAGGAAGCAGAGAAAAAAAAATTACAAAAAAGGGGATGAGGAAAAATATTGTGTAGATTGTCGATCTGCTGAACAATTACCTCCTAAGGGTTTTGGTGAATGTCGAGACAGGTCGTCCCACGAAGAACAGATTGTACAAGATGGTTGTGTAAGTATTCATTTCCTTCCTGGAACTGCACTGTAGACTCAAAATTATCGTCAATTCTCAAGAAATTCCTTTTCTCGCTCTTTCAGACAGGTGCTAGCCTGCAGGTAATAAGTCACAGATTCCCATCTTTGAACAGTCATACGTGGGCTACCGTTTGGAACATTCTCAGTCAATTAAGAAGTTGTGAAACTGGAAAGAAGTCATGAATGTGTCTTATGCTCTTGTAACATCAGACACGTGCTGAACGAGGGATGAAGAATGAGCAGAAGGGTGTGATGGGGGGAGTGTGTCTGCTGCACCAATAGCTTTGCAGAGCTCATGTCTCCATGGAAAACTTTACACAACACAGCGCAGACTTGGCCAACCACGTGGAAGGAGGAGGAAGCTTACATACTTTCAAGCATTAATGAAAACAATAAGTCTCCTGCATTGGTCTGAATCAACAGTTTGTTGAGTTGAAAGTAAAAATCAACTTTGTGGTTGTCCACGACTCGTCGGTGGTGGAACTCAAGACTTTACCTTTACCTTACCTTACTTATTCAAATAAATGGGTTTGCTTTTATAGGAGCTGATGTTTCTGTCTGCATAGATGATCAACAATGAGAACAATTCGTTTTAACAAGAGATGCCTTCGAAGAGTCAAAGTGCTTCACGAATCCGGGAAATTTGACCTTAGGCAACTTTTACACACAACATACCAAACCCGTTTGTGCTTGTTCAGTTTGTTCTTTGTCAGAAAACGAGAAAATTAATAAAACACTCTTCATTGGTAACATAAGCACAACATAAAAATTTTATTAAAATCACACAAAAGTACTGAATATGGCACGAACAACATTTTCTCACCAAAATTACATTTTTGATTTTCTATAGTATCTTTTGTTTAAATTCTCTGAATTTGACCTGCTCACCAAATGCCATCCTGTCTTGTGTCACAATAACTTATCTTATCTCAAGTGGAACACAATAATACCTTCTCTCCCTTTTACAGATAGTTTAACAAACTTTTGTTCACTTCTAACAGGAGGAAGGAGAAATGAGTAGAGATGGAGACGTGGTGTCAAGTGAGAAAATGTGTTATATTCATCTCTTTTTTCAAATGAACTTTTTACATCTAAACGAAAACTTTGGATTGTTTAAAACATTATTTATAACATAGGAAATGCATGCTAACTGCAACCACAGTGAGAAAACTAGAGATATGAGAAAAAATGTCCAGGAACGTCAAAAGAAAAAAAAAAGTTAACTGGAAAGTTTACCAGATACTGCCACCTGCTGAGAAGGTGAGAACAAACATTTCTGTCTGGTTTTAAAGTCCAGAAGTAACAATTAGACCAGAGGACGTTTGCCTGCAGCTCTGACGCTGCGAGTTGTTCACAACGGCTCTAAAAAAACTTTGGCTAAAAATTATATTAAAATGTAAAGAAATAATAAAGCAGGTTTAAGCTTTTCTGATTTGGACTGAATTTCAGCAACAGAATGATAAGGTACCTGTCATTTTTTAAAGATGGTTTTCCATAAATATTAATATCTCATTAAAAACATAATCATTCTCTTTTTGCAAGTTTTGTTTTTCTTTTAAATCAAAAACCCAACAGGAAAAAGTTTTTAAAAAAAAAAAAAAGTAAAAATGGTAATTACAAAAGGATCTCAATGTTCTGACATTTTTCTTAGTATTCTTGTTATTTTAAGAATTCTGAGAAAACCCAACTTTTTTCCCATTGGCTCTAATCCTCGCCCGTAGGCATTTCTCAAAAGATTTTCTAAATGTCCTGTAACAGTTGTGGCTCTGAACAAGTGTTTTGGACTGAAGGAGAAAAATGGCTCTTTGGATTGTAAAAGTTGCAGATGCTTGATCTAAACAGAACTGGACAACAAAAAGAATGACTTTTTTTATATGTAAAACCTTGTTCTCAAATCCATTACAGTATCAAAAATAATGTTCTTTTAACAACTCAAAATAAATAAATACAAAACTACAAAACACAGATAACTAAACACCTACTTAGAAAACTATCTTATTTAATAAACAGGACATTGCTGAGAGACTTGACACTTCACTGACAAAACTATCAAAAATGATAACACTTTCCACATAAACTAGATCGCTGTAAATAAAGAAAACATTCAGAGCTCGATGACAAAGAACTCCTTCTGAATTTAACTTCTAGAAACAATGATTTAACTTATAATGTTCTGTAAACCTGCGTGAAATGTCTTTCTGGTATTGTAAACTAGAATTTGACAATCCAAGATTGAAAGGGTAAATGTAAACCTGACAGAACAATAAATGCCATTTTGTTTCCCTCAAACATGAAATATGGCTTGTAGGTCATTTCTGCCACCAGTCACTGTGCATACATGCAAAGTTCTCATCAAGGACCAAAAACACACAAAGTGCTGACGCTTTAAAAGGAGCTGACATTGATCTTCTCTCACTTGTCCTCAAATTGTTTTAACGGAGAACATTTGTCACTGGTTGTCTCGTCTTTTTTCAATTTCCTTTTTAATCCGAATCACTAGAGCTGCCCTCATGGCTGCATCCAGGGTGTTCTTCTCTGCGACGCGCTCTACCACCTTCTCAGGTTTATCCTCCTTCAGAAGAAAAGAACAGGGGTCATTCAAACCAAAACAAAGAATTAAAAAGGCTTAACATCCATATAAATTAATGTGCACTGACCTTGTGCACAAGAAAGGATGTAACAGTGCCAGAATCCTCCTGATAGTCAAGCCAGAAGAGTTCAGTCCCAAGGGTTTCAGTCTCTGAGCTTGACCCAGTTTCATTTCCTTCTTCAGCATCAGCACCGGTACCTGGCTCAGATCCACCTGGAAAAGAACATACATGCACTATCATGCCTTCAGGGCAGGAATTCCCAGTCATGGTTCTTGTGATCTGATCCCTGATCCCATCAGTTGATCAAACTCAGCTAGAGCTCGGTACCCATTTACATCAGGCATCTTGAAGTGTGAAGCATTGGAAAACACTTGGGGCGGTGGATATTAGGGATCAGCATTTGAAAACATAGTTCAACAGAATGAACCTGGGGAGAATTACACAAATCTTACGTCTTTGTCGAGGATTGTAGACTTGGATGTCAGGTCGACGAGGTCTTTTTGGGGTTGCAGTGTGTCTTTGCTTCTTTAGCTTTTTGGCTTGCTTCACTTCCTTGTCATAATCATCTCTGAAAAAAGACAAGTAACAGTTTGATCATACAAATTTCAGTTACACGACTTTAGGTTTAGTTGTTTCCATTCTTCCAGTCATTTGATCATAAACTTAAAAGTGTAATGCTGTATGTATTTTGCAATTCAAAACAAAGTAAATAGTTATTTAAAACAATAAGTTTCATGCATATTCTGCTAAAACCTGCAATAATTTGGCTAGGCCTGCAAACTTATACATTGTTTTTAGCGGCTAAACGCGTTTATGTCATCAGCTACGACCTTTTCAGCATCCCCAAATCAACGTAACGTTTGATTAAAAGAATATCGCCTTTGAGGTTTTAGGCTGATATTAACCTAGTGTCTCATTTTCAACTAGCATTAACAGAGAGAAATTGAGGAAATTACCTACCTAGCAATCTGGTTCCTGCGGATATGGTGCAAGAAGCCATGGCTCATATCCAAACGCCCACCTGGTTTGTATTTTAGCTCATGCCCTCCATCATCTCTTAAAATATCCATGTCATTAAATGGTTGTAAAGCAATAAATTACCAATTGGTTAAATCATTATAAGAGGTCCTAATCAGACCTCAGACAAAAGCTAAATAGCACCTAGCTAGCTGTAAATAGTTGTCCAATAAATCACTTCCGGAGTTAACGCTGCAGGAACGATCACATTTAACATCTTAAATTAAAAAGTACAATAACAATTCAAGTATTTGTGTACAAATAAAACAAACACATGTTGTAAATTAACAGTTTCCTGCGCTAAAAAAAAACAAAGTTAAATTTCTGGTAGAATATTTTTCTTAACACCGGAATAGGTTTTGTTTTTTTTGTTCAGCGTACAACCACCGCGAGTTTCGACGTGGTCAGTCACCATTCATCTAAAAAATCTTCTAAATAAGTTAGTTTATTCCTATGTTGTTTTGATACCAGGCTCGCAGGATAACAGATATGATTTCCCTAAAACGAGAGAGGGAAATTGAGCTGGACGACGATGATAACGAAGACGGAGGTAAGTATGTTTATCTCTAACGTCAGTGTAACGTTAGCCGGATGCTAAGAAGCTAACTAAAAGAATTTGATTTTATGCACAACTTTGTACAGTCACTTCCTGAATGGTCATTAGACATCCTCAGTAACTAATGCATAGAATAACACTTTGCTTAATTAAAAAAACATTCTGTAACAGCACAGCTATCGTGTTAGCATGTTTAGCCTATTAGCTTGTACATTGTTATGTAGCATTTTAGTTTGTCTTGTTAGTTACAATTATCATATTTTTGCAGTTGTAATCAAAAGGGGCCGAGGACATGCAGTAGAAGACAGAAGAAGTCGCCACTGCCCTTACCTTGACACCATAAACAGGCAAGAAAGAGAAACATATCAGCAACTGATATTAGCATTGCTTGCTAATTAGCACATTTGACAACCATTAACCTGTCTATGCTAATTTCCCAGGAGTGTGCTTGATTTTGATTTTGAAAAGCTCTGCTCCATCTCGCTCTCCCACATTAATGTTTATGCTTGCCTCATCTGTGGGAAATATTTTCAAGGTAGGTAAAGCTATCCAACCTTCAATCCTACATGATTAAACATGCTCGTGCACTTTGATAGCCTGGCAAGCCACACTAAATAAAACTTTGCAAAGCAAGAATTTGGTCTAGTTCACTAGGCTAGTACTTTGACACACTGGTGTTGTTTTTTTCTTGCAGGCAGAGGTCAGAAGTCTCATGCATACACTCACAGTGTCCAGTTTAGCCATCATGTGTTCCTCAACCTGCACACACTCAAGTTTTACTGTCTGCCAGATAACTATGAGATCATTGACTCGTCATTAGAAGACATCACGGTGAGTCATAGTATTGTTTTGTTGATCTTATTATGCCACAAGTGTCTATGGTTACAAAGCCTAAACATTTCCTGTTTAACAGAGACAGCAAACTGGAGAAAAGTTTTAAAAGTTTTAAGCATGTAGATGTAGATTCTCAGTCATCCAGGACATTTCAGTGCTAAGACTCTTGGGATGTTCCAAAAAGGGTACTTCACGATTCGATTTGATTTCGATTATTGGAGCTTCGATGCTTCGATTCTTCGATTATAATGATTTTTGGTTCGATTCGATTACTGGAGCCACGATTCTTCGATTATTGACATTTTTAATGTTTTTTCATACAAGATTGTCTTCTATTTTATCTACATTTGTAAATAAATAACCTATCAATTAATTCAGTTCCTCTACAACTGCTCTCTGTAAGTAAATACATTTTTTTAACATTTAACTATTTTTCAAAGACAAATTCTTATTTTATGACTGTATGACGTGTAAATATTTGCACTTTGACAAACTTAACTTTGGTCAGGGAAAGCTTTACTTACACTAGTGTCTCCTCCATTGTTGGGAAACACTGAAAACAGGCAAGCCCTGGATTTAATGAGGTAATTAATTCAAGTAAACAAGATTTTTACTTCCACTGAATTTATTTAATGGAAACTTAATGAGTCTGGCATATGATAACATTACAAAAAAAGCTGCCATACAGATCAAAAGTGCATTCCTCAAAATAAAATAATTCAGCTTATTCAGTCTGGAATATAGGTAACAGAACAAACCTGCTATATTTGAAGGTATGCATTCTTTCTGAACAAAAGTGCATAATTCAACTGAACCTGTATTCAGCTTGGAGCTTCAGTACTGTGAGGCGAACACAACAAAATAGAGCAGAGTGACACTCATACTCATCTTAAACTTAACTGTCCTCCCATACTCCCTCCCCTCCTGCTTGTCCCCTACATCCTCCTGTTGTGTGAGATGGGTAAATGTCAACATTGTGCTACTTTGACTCTCACTCATCTCTCGAGTTTGAAGAACGTGGCTCACCAACTTCCACCCGTTCTTGTCCGGCACGAGAACAAAATGCGCCGTTACAGTAACGAAGGATTTGGTGGCAACCGATGTCCATGCATCGCATGTGAACGCTATCCCGGTTGCCTTCTTCATGGACTCCAGCTTTGGTTTCCTCGTAGAGGTGGGGGACTTCCTTTTCTGCGAAGTGTTTTCGGTGAGGAAGTTTCTAGCGTGGCTCCATGGTGCGCACCACTAACTGAAACCCCCTGTTGTTTACTACTGAATACGGGCGTAGATCCGTCGCGATAAAAGTAGCTATTGCTTTTGTAATGCTCCTCGCCTTCTCTGAGCTCTTCGGTAGTTTGGAGACAGTCTCCAGGATGGAGAAAGAGGTCAAAGAGGTAGTGCCACTCACTAAACAGTCCGGGCGGCACGTGCGTTAAGGCTCCGGTTACGTGTTTTTATTTTTTTTTAGTACCGGCGTTGCAATAAAACTTTGATGTTATGTTTTTTTAAGCATTGACGTTCATTAATCAATGTCGAAACAACATGTTTAGCTTTTAGATGCATCGCCACATCGATTTATTGCACCCCCCCTATAAGATTCTAATGGAAAGTAACTAACTGGAGGTGTCTGAAGATGTTTCAAATTTTCATCTGATTCAGATGAGTGTTGGAGATCATTTTAACTAATGTGCTCAAAATTCAGTTGGAGACTAACCTTTTAACTCAAATCAAATTCAAATTTTATTTGTCACATAAATTCATACACAGTACGAAATGCTGTGAAATGCCTTACACAACTGCTCGTGACCTAAGAGTTGAAAATAAAATAACTGTACACCACGGATTAGAATGAAGGGTAAATTTAACTGGGAAAGAGTAATGTAAAATATATCTGAATTAAAGTTGAATAATAGAATAGCTTTACAACAAAATACACAATACAATACAAATTAGAATAAAAGGTACATTTAGCTGGGAAAGAATAAGATAAAATATATATAAGTTGAAGTTGAGAATAAAGTTACTGTACAACAAAATACACAGTATGTAAATGTATGAGAATGTATGAAGAAATAAAAATATCTATACAATAACAGTAGCTGAGCAAGTATTAAATGGAAATGAAAATAATATATATAATGTCCAGAGTTGTGCAAACCACACCGTAGTGACTTTTGCAGTGCAACTATGCTTAAGCAAAGTCCAGACTGTCCAGTGTGTGTGAGAACCATTTGTGTGGGCACTTACTATGTGGTGGTGTGATTTAAAGACCGTATCGCCTGCGGGAAGAAACTCCTCTTCAGCCTCACTGTGTTGGTCTTCAGGGAGCGGAATCGCTTCCCTGACCTCAACAGAGAGAACAGTCTGTTGTTGGGATGGCTGAGGTCCTTCACGATCTTCCTGGCCTTGGTCCAGCACTGCCTGCTGTAGATTGAGTGCAGGTCAGGGAGCTCGGAGCATGGTGCGCTCAGCTGATCGTGCTGTTCCCGAACCAGGTTATGATGTTCCCCGTCAGGATGCTCTCTATGGTGCTCGAGTAAAAGTTCCTGAGCACCCTGGGGGGCAGTCGGAAGTCTCTCAAGCGTCTGAGGTAGTAGAGACGCTGTCGGGCCTTTTTCACCAGAACTCTGTTTTCATCACTTTTTAATCTGATTCTTCTCCAGTATGTGCTGAAGCCAACTTTCACCAAGCAGCACATTGCTGGACTGGACAAGCAGGGCAAACTGTACAGAGCCTACGATGGTACAACTTACCTGCCGGGCATTGTGGGACTTAACAACATCAAAGCCAATGATTATGCCAATGTGGTGTTACAGGTATAAATGTTTTCCTGTAAAGAGATATTTGTGACTTTGGTATAAGCCATGACATTTTTTTTTCATATTTACTTCATATTTCTAGGCTTTTTCCAATGTGCCTCCTTTGCGAAACTACTTCCTGGAGGAGGAGAACTACAGAGAAATCCGCAGACCACCGGGAGACATCATGTTTCTTCTGGTCCAGAGGTTTGGTGAGCTGATGCGCAAACTTTGGAACCCGAGAAACTTTAAGGCCCATGTGTCTCCTCATGAGATGCTGCAGGCTGTGGTCCTGTGCAGCAAGAAGACCTTTCAAATTACCAAACAAGGTAGTTTTCCCATTGGCCAGTGCCAGACAAAAACAGTTTAACATCCACTGATGCTTTAATGTGATATATCATTTTGTTTACTGTAGGTGATGCTGTGGACTTCATGACATGGTTCTTGAACGCTCTGCATGGTGCTCTTGGGGGAACAAAGAAGAAACCATGTAAGTTGAAGAAAAGTCAAGAGTTATTGCACTTGTCACCTCCTGATGCATTAAAACTATATTATAAAAGTGTCTCAGATTAAATTTGTTTTCCTTAGAATAAAATGAATGTTTCAGTTAAGTTTTTACTTAATTATAATACAAATGTTATTTTTTTTAAACGTTCACCTTATAGCTATAATCACAAAAGCATTTCAAGGATCCATGAGGATTTTCTCCAAGAAACTTCCTCACCCAGATTTGGTGAGTTTTTTTCCGTTTTGCTCTTGATGTGAAATCAACAATTGACACATTTTATGAATAAATGCTAAGCCCAAAACATTTTTTTGCCTTTTTAAATAAATAAAAAAAAATGTTTTCCTTAATTTTTAGATTTTGATGTAAATCTTTGCTGCACTCCTTTAGATTTATATAACATGTTTGTGTTCAAATATACTGCAAGACACAGATACAACTTAATGTTTTATTTTGGTTTCATATTATGTTAATCTAAAAATTAAATTCGTATTCATAAACTCTTGTTTGGTGTTAACTCAAAAAAATGTCACCATATAAAGTCGCATCTTTTCTGTGTAATCTCAGGGTGTCAAGTTTTGCCTTAATTTGTGTAGAATCCCCACTTGAAAGGGAAGGATGAGTCTTTACAGCGCATCCCTTTTTATAGTCCTGATTGAACTACCGCCATACACAGTTCTGCCATGCTTACTTAATGTGAATTTAAGCAAATCATAAACATTCCTTTCCTATTTACCTTCCTTCTTTTATTTCACTTTAAATGATACAATTGATACAACGTCTTTTTTTCTACAAAACACAGTAAATAATTAACTATGAAATGATGCAAATGTAGTCATTTCCTTATTTTGCTTTACTACATTTAAATGACTCGCACTTGTATAGCGCCTCTCAGAGTAAGGACTCCAAAGCGCTTCACACTACAGTGTATCATTCATCCATTCACACACACATTCACACACACTGATGGTGATGAGCTACGATGTAGCCACAGCTGCCCTGGGACGCAGTGACAGAGGCGAGGCAGCTGAGTACAGGCGCCACCGGTCCCTCCGACCACCACCAGCAGGCAAGGTGGGTTAAGTGTCTTGCCCAAGGACACAACAGCAGAGTTCTCTGTCCGGAGCCGGGATCGAACCTGCAACCCTCCAATTACTGGACAACCTGCTCAACCTGTTGAGCTACTGCTGCCCTTTCATTTAAAATTTGAAGAAAAAACCCCATTAATTTTAGTCCAGGTTCATGAGTCTTTTGGCTGCAGAGGTAAGGTCAGTTTAAAACAAATTTATAATATTTGAAAAAGACAAAATCCTGATCTTGTAATAACAAAACAAAATAGATTTACTGATTTACAGTAAAATTGAGCTGTTCTCTTTTTAAAACTATACAGCTACCAGAAGAAAAAGAGGCATTACTCCTTACGGAGGAGTACCAGGAGCAGATGTCTGAGTCCACCTTCCTGTTTCTGACCCTTGACCTCCCAACAGCTCCTCTGTACAAGGATGAGAAGGAACAACTTATCATCCCACAGGTCCCTCTATTTAACATCCTGGGCAAGTTCAGTGGCACCACAGAAAAGGTACTAACCCCTTTACTGACTGATGCTCAATTAATAACATAAAGGAAGACCAGCCTGTAAATTCTTCAACTCAAGTATTGAAGTGCATTAATGTTATTCAACAGGAAATAAAATGGAACTAATGCACATGTGCATGTGATGCTGTTTGCAGGAATACAAAACCTACAAAGAGAATTTCCTCAAAAGATTCCAGTTGACCAAACTGCCACCGTACCTCATCTTTTGCATCAAAAGATTCACCAAGAACAATTTCTTTGTGGAAAAAAATCCAACAATTGTCAATTTCCCGATCACGTAAGTTGTTTTTGTTTACTCAGACTAGGGCAGTAAATCGAACACTTATCGTTATCGAAATTTCTAACTCTAACCGATATCATTGTTTCCATGTCAGTAAATTTGGTAATAAAGATGGAAAGATGTGTGTAGGTTGGAGACAATCAAGTCCTTTTAAGAAGCTGAACCACCTTGAATCACATGACAACATGACTCAAAGTAATACACGTAACAGCCCCATCTAGTGGACAACTTCTGGTTTTGTGCATACATGTAGTTATGGTCCATTTATAGTTATCAAGGCTAACTTCTCAATGTGCCGTGATATGGATTTTAGGCCACATCGCCTAGCCCTAACTCAGACTTTTGCTTAAACACAGCTATGAAGTTCAGCTTACATCTGCTGTTTACTATTTTAGGCTAAACTACACGTTTAAATGTATTTTGAACTTTGCTGTTTGCTTCAACAGGAACGTGGACCTTTCTGAGTATCTGACAGAAGAAGCTCAAGCTACAGAGAAGAATACGACTTATGACCTTGTTGCAAATGTGGTGCATGATGGGAAACCCACAGAGGGATCATACAGGATACATGTCCTGCATCATGTAAGCTACAGCTGACCAGTTTTTCATGTGCACTGGGATCAGCGTAACTTCTGTGTCCTGTTCTCTGAGTCACAGTAGATTTCAGAATGATAAATGACCCGCACTTGTATAGCGCCTCTCAGATTAAGGACTCCAAAGCTCTTTACAGTGTATCATTCATCCATTCACACACACATTCACACACTGATGGTGATGAGCTACGATTTAGCCATAGCTGCCCTGGGGCGCACTGACCGAGGCGAGGCTGCCACAGGGCCACAAAGTAATGAAAGAATGTGGCCTGAGTTTCTGATGAGTTTTCTGTCTGTAACAAAAGCTTTCAGTTGTGTTTTAGTGATCTACGGCAGAATAACTGAATGCTTTGTTTGACCAGGGGACAGGGAAGTGGTACGAGATGCAGGACCTGCAGGTCATCGACATTCTTCCCCAGATGATCACGCTGTCAGAGGCTTACATCCAAGTAAGTCTACCCTATAAGTCTTAGTATTTACCTGCGAGTTCGAAGAATTTACTTTTTTCCTTTAATGAAAACATTTGACTACAATCTGAAGAATCTGCTGTTTGTTTACTTCCTGAATTTAATTAGTTAAAGGCTTAACAAAGTATTGGGATTTTCAAAACAAAAGCCTCATTGTTGGCTCTAAATTCTAAATGTATGGCATCAGACAGTTGTTTTAACTAACTATAGTTTTGTTTTTTTACAAAGGAAAACAACACAAATCTTCTCTTTCTCAGCTTTGCTTAAAGGTTTTGTCAAATTCTGAGAAAAGAGCATAATGGAAATAATTGACAATGACATTGTAGACTGAGTGCAATCATCACAAACTTTACACAGAATATAATTAAAATAAAATAAAGCTTCAAACCACATAACTGACTATCCAACCTGTTACTGAGGAAAAATAATCTAGTTATTGATTAAAACCATCTACTCAGTTGCTTCTAGTGTGTACGTACTTCCTAAAAAGCTGTTATTTGGTATTATAATTTAAAAAGGATTTTCTTAGTGTTTTTTTTAATTGTTGCCCTTTTCTTGCCAGATTTGGAAGAGACAGGAGAGCAGTGACACAAACAGCCACACGGCGGAGTAAGTGCTGCAATGTATTTCCCATCCTGGGTGGCGTTTCGTTTCATCACAACTCTGGAAATCAACTCAAATCTTTAAATGATCAGAAGTGCAACAGAACTTTGTTTAAAGCGACACAAAGCCTTGAAATGCAGAAGTTCTTTTTTTGTGGTTTTATCTTTTCACCTTGTGGAGTTTTCTAAATAAACCACCTTGAGGACAAAAGTCTTTGTAAATGAAAGCTTAACAACACAACCTTTAAATTAGGTTTTATTTGTATTTGATCTTCTTCACCAGCTGCCGGAAGAGCAGCAGCACAATCAGAGAGGAAGCATCACTAAAGCCGGGCGTACACTGCGACTTTTTCACTTTTTTGAGCCAATTTTCCACTCGTGTGAGAATCCACAAGATCGGGGCGAGTTTTGCGCCGAGCGTCGTGTAGTGTACGGGGGGTTACGAGAGGCGATTAACACCATGTGACCAGCTACCGATCAGCAATCGTGAGCTCGCACGGACTTCTGGCGTGTTTAATATTTTGCTCGTCCCTCATGAGGGTATCGCACTGTTGAAGCGGCGCTGCGAGCAGCTGCGACACAAAATGGATCAGAACCGCTCACGGCGCATGTGCAATCCTGCATCAATGCCGCTCGCCCGCTATTTCCCTAATAACACACGTTGTACGTTTTTGTTTCTACACGGTTTTTTTACTCACAAATATTGTCAAGAAAGCATGTTTGTCGTGTTCATGTCAAATTAAACTGATCACAAAACACAGATTTACTTTCTTTATTTCGTTTTCCTCATCCAACCCCCATAAATCCCTCCTGCAACACTCCTGAAGGACAACAGGCAAAACAAGTCAAAAAAGTCTGACGTGTTGAGTAAAAACTGCTATTTTTAACATATTTTTAGGTCCGACGTGTTGCTACCAGACGAACAGTGTGAGCAGCAGTCAGACCGCATCCGAGAACTGGGTCGTACAGTGTGAGCACATGACTCGTGAGATCTGCCCTGCGAGGAAGTCGTACAGTTTGAGCTGAAGCTGAGTGCTACGAGTGAAAAAGTCGCACCGTGTACGCCCGGCTTAACACTGCTCAAGAATTACCGTACAGGAGCGGTTTCAGACTGAATCTCATGCAAATGGATATTTAGGATACTTGATTCACTGGATTAGTATGAGAGATGGGGGATTTCCCCACTCAACATAAAAAGGTGATCAGTGCATTACATTTAAAAGACAAAAGGTGATCAGTGCATTACACTTGCAGAAATCAGATCATTGTGTCGTAACGCAAAGCTGCGGCGAGCCTGGTACGGTTGGTTCTATTTCTTCCACACGTATTTCTTACAGAAGACCTGATTCTATAAAAAAAAAGTGAAATTAGAAATAAAGATGCACAGTTCTTCTACATTCACTAGAAATCCTACTTACACCACACTTCTGAGCTGTTTCAAGATTTTTGCACCAGTAGCTTGGTCCCCATGTGCAGGGGTTCTTCCCCAGAGGCTCTGGTTTCTTTGATGATGAGCACAGATTAGCTCTCTGTGGGACAGGAGACACAAAAGATCTGAGAACATAACTTGACTATAAAGTTCAAAGCGTTCCTGATTGCACAGAATAGATGTCTTCATATTTTTTAATAATAAAAAAACAAGAGGCATAATTAATGAGTGATCTTTAATTTCTTCTTACCTCACAAACGTGTGGAACATCCATTTGGCTTCCCAAAACCCTCTGCAGCTGTAGCCCATAGATTCTGGTGAAATCCTCGCACTGAAAAGTTTTTATAAGTAAAAACAAGCTTTAAAACTGATATAACATATATATATCTTGAGTTGCTTAAAGTATAAAAACGTTTTGGAAATCAGTGTTAGGAGCTGGGTGTCCAACCTTGGGGATGGCGTTCGGGTGCTGGATGCACACAGACTGAAGGAAAGCTGACGTCTGAGGTTTGGTGGCGTTGAGCCCGAGGTAAAGGCGGCTCAGTACGGCCAGAGTTTGACATGAGTCACAGTCGGAGGATGGGCGCACATCTGGGAAAGCAGCTGGTTATTAACACGGCAACAAGGATGCATGACAATTGGCTGTGATGGAAACTAAAAGTCTAAAATTAACTAACCAGGAACAGACTGCATCTCAAACAAACACAAGTGTAAAAGAGTACAGATGGTGTGGGGAGCAGCAGAAGACAGAAGGAACTCTACGATCTCTGCGCCGTATTTGTTGACAAAATCATCACATTGGTCCTTGTAACTTTTAGGTATCAGATCACAGACTTCTCCCATCAGCTTCATTAAAGTCTCCTGCAGGACGAGAAGAAGACGGAGACTTTCACAGGAAGTGGACAGCTGTGTTTGATGTCGGTGTAAAACTATCTGGAGAAAGTCACCTCAGTCATGTTTTTAGGCAACAGTTCCTCAAGTTTCTTGATGACGAGCAAACACAAGGGGCAGACTGGGTTCAAAACCCCCTAGAAAGAAGAAGACGTGTCACAGGTGGTTCATGAGTGGTTCCACTGCTGCCTTCTCAGACTTACTTGAGCTTTTGAAGCGGTGCTAAGTTCAGAAGTGGATTTTTCAGTGTTTGAGAGCTGATGGGAAAGTTTCAGAAGTTCCTTCTCCTTGTTGGGAATGCAAAGTCCGAACACCTCACAGGTCTCTTCTGGTTTCTACAAAAATACACGCGTCAGCTCAGCAAGACATTTTTCTTAATTGTACAAGTAAAAATGATAATATCCTTCATACCTGTTGGACGGGCGACTGCCGCAGGATTTTTGGTAGGTAGGCTTTAACCTGTAACTCACACCCTGACACCTGATCTCTGGGAAGGTGTTGGCACAAAGCGTATAAGCTTTTAAAAACAGTCACCTGTGAATGCGAAGTAGTTAGTCGCCTGTTTTTGAATGATGGGGATGCAATCATGTCTATTTTTACTTTGATAGAAAATGAAAAATCAATTAAAAAACAACTTATTTTGCATGAAAGTGATATTTAGTTTGATTTGACATGCTCATTCAACATGGTAGATCGAAACAAAAACAAACCTCAAATGTAGTTTGAAAGAATTTTGAGAAGTGAAAATAACAAACCTTTGTGTCACTGCTGGAGATCATGTTGGCTGACAGCTGGATGATCTGGCTGCATTCTGGACAAACATCCAGAATCTGATGAGGAGAAGCCACAATGAGACTGCTAATATGTAATTTTCTTTACAATGGTATGAAAATTGAGTCAGATGTTTTCAAATGAACATGGAAGGCTAACCAGAGGCTCCTGTCTGACTGAAGACAAAGGATCAGCAACAAATCTGGAGTGTCCTTCAGTGAAAACACCCACAAGGAAAAAGGGCAAGGACCAACATTAAATTCCTCTGAGCATAAATATGTTTATATATGTATTATTATTATAACTGATTACTGACAGATGCGTTTCAAAGGCACTGATCAGAGAAGGGTAAATAATGGCGCCTGCTCAGTTGTCAGGGCGAGGAGGACATAATCATTCGTTCCTCTTACCGGACAGTAGAGAGGCTGTCAGGACCACCAACACTAACCCCGACGTTGCAGACATGACCGGAGGACAGCAGGACGGACGGAGACGGGATCAGATGTTTTCTTCTTCTGTCAAAACCAACATCTGCGTTGCTGTTGGAGCGCTACCGGAACTGAGAAATGCGCATGCGCAAGACAAAACCCTCAAAATCTTTATAAAATATATTTGTGGAAAATCGGTCCATATTCTAGTTCAAATGTAAGCACGTATTATGTTTTAGTGGCATTAAACAAACAAACAGGAGGTTCATATATTCTCTGTCTAATCATTGCATCATCTGAATAGAATGAAACATGCGCTTTTGTTTATCTGTGGAGGAAAAGTTACCAGATACTAACAAACAATTTTCACTCTGGTGTCAAACAAAATATTTGTAGAAAAAAAAGGATTATTATCATTTAACCCTCTCAAACCTCAGTGCATGTTTGTCCCTGCAGTCACCACTAGATGGCAGCAGAGAAAATTAAATGTAAGAAATCATACTCCGCTTTTCTGCATTTAAACATTAATTATTACTTTAAATAAAGTAAAGAGCTTAATTGAAAAATACATCATAAATACATACATACAAATATAAAATCCTAAATACAAAACTAGAGAACGAATGATTAATTGCAATCAACTACAAGTAGGCCTAGAACACACTTGTTTTAATTGGATTCTGCTAAAGTTTTGTTAAAACCAAACAGGAAGCAGAATTGTCATTTAGGTTTCAGAAATCAGGTTTTTTTTGTGGTCTAATGGCTAAATTATTTACAGATGTGATAAGTTGAATCAATCAATCAATCAATCAATCAATCAAATCAATCAAAGATGCTTTATTAATCCCAGAGGGAAATTAGAGTTTCAGTACACACAATTCAGAGATCAGACATACATGGGCAAGCCACATGACAAGAATTGAAATAAAATAGGCTACATGAGAGAAATACTGAACAATTATCATAAAAATGTATACTTTGACTCACATGCGAAAGAAAGTTTTTACAATATAAACAATGATTTGTTTTCTAACAAGAAACAGTGAAACATAAATAAACATGCAAAAAATGACAGATTTCTTTAACAAAGGTTTGTGGATTATAGCCATGTTGGTCTGTAAGGACATTACATAATACCTTTAAGTACATGAAGCATAGATAAAGATGAGGACATTTTGTTTGCTTTTCAGTGTTTTTAAACCTGCGTCATGAAAAAAATGGAAGTGAAGAACATTAAAAAACCTAAATGATTTTAGATGAAAAGAAAGACTAAAATCTCACTGAAAAAGTTTACAGAAGAACAAAACAACATGCAGGATTCTATTTTGGTTCTTTCTTTAAACACAGATTAGGTTTTTCTTTACCTTGCTGACGTTTCGTTTGCGGCTGCAAAAGGTAAAGAAAAGCCTTATCTATGTTTAAAAAAAGAACCAAAAATGAAATTTGAAGACAAACACAGCAAGAACGTACAAAACACGCAGGATTGTCAAAATGCATGGGACATTTCAAGGAATATCTGAAGTTAATCTGAAGTTAATACAGAAAGTCATGCAGAGCACTGGAGCTTCGAAGACATTACTACATGCATGGCCGGTGGGTTTGCAGACTTAGTCAAACCGGCTGCAGTGAAGAGAGAAAGTTGTGAATGAGCAGATGTTAAACTGCATCCAAATTATGCTCCCATTACCACAAAAACGCAAATGACTCATTCCAAGGAAGCAATGCGCAACTCAGATCAAACTGATCTTGTCCATCAGTTCGTCCTCTTAGAGTTAGACTGTTTAATCTTTGTGACCAACTTTTGCATCAAAGCTTTTTTTTTACCTACAATATTTTTATTTAAATTGGAGGAAGAAAGAAGCCAGAGAACCGATGGTTTAGCTGAGAAATGAGGCTGAAGGCGGTCCCGTTTTAATTGCGCATATCGACAATCCCGCAGGGATCTGCATCCTTCCCCAAAAAGGTAAACAACAAATCAGCGCAATATATGGAGATCGATAGGTGACGTGGTGGGTCGCATTAGTCCTCTTGCTTTCTGCAGAGAGGAGGAGAGAGACGGCAACCAGCTGCTGCGTCCACACACACACACACACACACACACACACACACACACACACACACACACACACACACACACACACACACACACACACACACACACACACACACACACACACACACACACACACACACACACACGCCACGCCCATCCTGACCTCCGTGGACACAGTGCCATCCACACAAAGTGGCTCTGCGTGTCCCATGGGAGCAGGAGAATGCTGGAGAGGACGAGCGGCACACGATACCCCATTGTTTAGTTTAGTAGTCACTGATCCCCTCCCCCCCCACCCCACCCCACTCCCTCCAAAAAAAAAAAAAAAAAAAAAAAAACACGGGCTGACCGTCTCAGCGGGTTAAATTGATTAGAAAGACTTTGTGGTTTGACTAATCCTCCATTTTCGCTCCGTCTCTGCGCTTCAGTAAATCAGAAAACGCACGCACGCACGCGCACACTTAAAGAGAAAGTCCTGCAGGTTGTGATGATGAAGCATCACACAGGTTGAAGGAAAGAAAATTTTGATCTTTAACAAACAAGTTATAAAACAAGCCGGAGACGCCTAGGTTGAACACTGTTTAAAAGTTTGATCAAAGCTTTGACAGCAGATCATTTCAGGATTTAGGTATTTCAGGGTATACATTTTTCGAGATGTTTGCCAAATTTGCAGACCACAAAATGTGATTTTCGTTACATACAAAATATAATTTTTTGTAAACGTTTACTCTTCAAAATAGTTCCAAATGCATATTGGTAAAAGATTGCTAACGTATCAATCTACACAAACAAACTGCTGGGAGACGCAATTGGGGACAGCGTCAGGCTGCAAATAGCCCCTGTGCCACAGTCACGCCCGATTAAAACTTTTACATGACTCCTCTTTGAAATACATCAGAATTTTAAACTTTATTGTTTCTTTACGCATTTAATTTTCTGGTTGTTTTGTGTGTTTATGCGTTTTTCCTCTTAATCTGCAAGCCCAAAACCTCTAAAACCAAAGAGAACCTTTAATTTCTTTGATGGAGTAAAGGAATGTAACGAAAACAACGCGTCATCTTGCGCAGGTTGACGTGGTTTTGGGGGTTAAGTACAGCTGTCGGTCATCGGTGGAGGTGTGAGGCGACAGGGCGGAGACTCGGTCTCAGGATTCCCCAGGACTGCGCTCATAATTGGGGGAACATCTGACTTTATCCCGCGTTGGCAGATGGTGGGTTGAGGCGGGATCCAAAGGGGGGAGAGATTTACATTCATTGTCCGGGCGCACAGAGACAATGGTCCCGGTGAGGGGCAGGATGGAGAAAAAAAACTTTCCTTTTCAGAAGCAGACGAATAAGGGAAATTGATTTCACGGCAAATGTTCCCAAAACATGACGGGAGTTAAAATAATTAAAATAAACAAGTTCAAACTATAAAAGTTCAGAACATTTTAACGACGATTAAATCATTTAACACAAACACCTTTTAAACATCGCATCATTTTGTTTGATCTGCATAAACCATCCTAAAGTAACTGAAGAGGTATAAGGCTGCATGCCCCGTGTCTCATTTCATGACTCAGAAACTGAGAAGATGGTCTCTTGTACTGATTAAGAACTCATTTCGGGCTCCGCCAGGCAGGAGACCAAGACGCCAATCAGAGCGCAGCCCCGTCGGCTGCTGTTAGAGATTGATGGACCAACCAGACGGTCATTGTTTCCACTGACACTGATGCGATGCCTCCTCAGCGGAATCAGTGCGCGCTGAGACGCAGACGCTGACGCTAAATGCGCGCCCCTTGTCGAGAGCGCACTTGTGTTAAACGCTGACTTGAATGAATGGAGCTAACTGGATTTTCTTCAGCTGAGCGCAGGATAAAGCAGGAGCAGGCAGAGCGGAATATAAACTCAAATAATCACAAATAAATAAAAACAAACATTATTTTAGGAGCTCTGTTGAGATAATCTCTTTTTACGCACAAATAAAAAGCATATATTTTTTGTCAAATTTGATTTCTGCTCAATCAAATTTTTGTGATTTTTAAAGAAACGTTTCCTAAATTTACAAAAAGTTTGCTGCGAGTTTCACTGCAGATTCTGAATCGGGCAAATAACGGATGCACTTTACACCAATGAGAGCATCCATCTCCACAATCGGTCCCCCATATGGCACTTAGCCCCTCCTCCACGCTCCATCCCGACTGGGTCTCATTCATGCTTTTAGACAGCGGTTCACTACAAGTCTGCTGGCCCCAGGATCAACTGTTTTGATCCGATCAGGCCTCACGACAAAGGAAGACGAGGAACTTTTGAAGAATATTCCAGGTCTAAGTTGCGTTCTGGAGCAGATGGAGCGGCTGGATCAGCTGCGCTGGAACTGACGCTGGACGCATGTGCGCTCGGACAATGCTCATAATCTCTGGAGAAATATATCTGCAATCATCGTCTAAACCTCGAAAGTCTGAGTGGATTCCTGCTGAGCCCAATATTAAGTCCTCACACAGCAGCAGTGATTTATTTTTTAAACTCCACTGAAGCTGATTTCCAGTGGAGCGCAGCGCCCTGAAGTAGACCTTCTGTTGTTTACTGAAGTGCTTTTGCTGTCCAGCTTTTTTTCTCTCTCGAAGTAAAAACAAACAAACATCAGAGGCGCAGAAGCACCAGGACAGGACTTTAAATGTTCGGGATCCAGGAGCAACTGATCCGAGAAGTGAGCGGAATAAAAGAGAGGAATCTTGGGGAGGAGATGGATCCAGTCCGGTCCTGGGTGCGTAATGTTGGGGTTGTGGATGCGAACGTTGCAGCGCAAAGGTAAAAGGAAAACTCAAGTTATGATGTTACACAACTTTTCTCACGATTGTTAGAATTTGAAGTAAACACATTTTAACGTCTCAGAGTCGGACGGCAGGTTTTTCCATAAATAAAATAACGGAAACCGACTTGTTGCAAAATAAAAATCTAGCAGCTCACCTTGAAGCGTTTTTACTGGTTTATCACACAATGTTTTACATTAATACAATCAGGAGGTGCAGCCGTTAAATGATTGTCACGTTGATGTTTTGCCTGATCACAAAAACTAATAAAATGCGACAATTTTTGAAAATGCACAAAATATGTTTATTTTTTGGGTTTCTTTCACTTGGCTTACCTTTTCATTTTTTCTGGAAAAAAAGTCCACATTTGATAAAAGTCTGTTTCTGATTTGTTTGAAAACTGTATTTTCGTTGTAAATTATTCGCACAATGATGTCATCTGACTTTCTGAAGTGTTTCCGTTTTATCTCTTGAAAAGTTTTCATTTTTATGACCAACTCGCGCTTTAAAGCTGTTAAATCTGCAAACGGAACCAAGCGAAGATGACGGATTTAAAAGCCGAAACTCAAACGGAACCATGTGGATGGAATTGCGTCATAATCTATTAATTACATCGTGGAAATTTCAGCACGTGTTTTAGCATTTATTTGCATTGGATTCAATTCAAATGTTACTTCAGAAAATTCTGAAAAATAAAGAAAAGTGAATTAAAAAATGAATAAAATCTGATTATTTTATTTTGGGATTTAAAGCTTCATCAGAAGAAACAACATTTATGAAATAATGAAGTCTGGATTATCCGGGAGGACATTAAATGGGTAATTTCTCAGCAGAAGTTCTTTTTAAATAAGGTTACATCAGACCTTTAACCCTTTCTTTACCAAATCAAGGTGAGGATGAGAACTAACAACTATTAACCTGTATTGTCATTTTTATTAAAATGCTCCTTAATCAATTTTTTAAATTGTAATGTTCAGCAAAATTTCAACCATTTTCCCCTTTTAAGCTTTTTCCAGAATTGTTTTTTGTACTTGAAAAATAGTCATTTTAATTTATAGACTATTAAAATATTATTTAATAAATATTAGCAAAAATAATAAGTTTTGTGACAAATTCAAGTACTTTGTTTCATTAAGGGTTAATTTTTATTATAGTGAGTCATAATGATCTTACATGTATTTCTGCAAATAAGTTTTTATTATTTACTTAACTTTAAAAAAGCATGTATAACTTTGATTTGTACTAAACTCATTAAAACATATTTTCACACTCAAACTGTTTCTGAAATTTGTCACAGTAAAATCAAACAAATCCAGCTGAACAGAAGAGCAGTTTGCTAAGCAGAAGTCAGAGGTTTCAGAGGACTGATCATCTCCTGTTGTGTCCTCAGTGGAGTCGCTCTGTCAAGAGCTCATTTTGAGAAGCAGCCGCCCTCAAATCTCCGCAAGTCCAACTTCTTCCACTTTGTCCTGGCGCTCTATGACAGACACGGCCAACCTGTGGAGGTGGAGAGGACGGCCTTTGTGGACTTTGTGGAGCACGAAAAGGTGTGTGAGACTTTCTGCTTTATAGGACCTCACCCATCTGATAAAGAAGAAAGCACAAATACTAGTAGAAAGTGTTTTTAGCTTTAACCAGGTGCTACACTTGATCTTCCCCAGTAAAGCCAAGCGTATCGAACAGCTGACGGCTACACGTTTACACAAGCTTTACCCTCATGAGCTGGTGATGTGGGATTGAAAAAGAATATCTAATGACTAATTAGCAGCTTGCCTCATTAGGGGGACATCACAACTTTTTTAAAATGCAAATGATGCTTGCTCCTGCTAAGATACACACTGAACCAATCATCAAAGTGTCTTTCCCTTCATGCCCACCCCACTCCAATACTCCAAATCCTTTTGCAGGAGGGAGACAAATTCCTCAAGATGACCAAAAATAAGAACGGGTTGGACGTGGAGACAGTTTTAGACGCTGAGGGAAGAGGCCGGAGCGAACCTGATGTTTAGTGTTGATGGATGAATTCTGCCTTGTGTGTGAGAGGAGGGAGGTAGAAGGGGGTGAGAATCTCCTGAGGTGAGGTTCCAAAAAGGGGGACACCATCCTGTCAAGTGAAGTTCAAGCCCAGCTTCCTGGGCTATAATTGATTTGAGCGGCGGTGCTAATGCCAGGGCGGAAAGCTGTCACCACGCTGCTCGTTGTGCCACACAGGCCAGCTCACACTCACATCATGACAGTGGAGAAGTTCATTTTCTGCATGGTTACCCTGGCATCTGTTTTTGCCTCATAATTATGCGGCAGTAAACCGATGGCATGGCAAAATAAACGCTCCTCCGAGTGCATTTGCAAACCCTATGAAGCCAGGCAGCCATCTATCACCTGTTGGGCCTCAGTCGCCCTCCTCATATTAAGTTTTGAGCTCACTTCATCATCCTGCATCTTAATTTCTACTCTTCTCCTTCCCTTCCCATCTCGTCTCCCTGGTTTCTCTTCTCCCCCACACAACCTCCATGCTCTTTTCTTGAGCTCATCTGTGCGATGCCAGCCTCCTGGGTTATTGGACCAGAGAGCATTCCTTTGAGACCACTTAGAAAGACCATGAGAGGTAGAGGAAGAGAAGGGAAGAGGCGAAACAAGAGCCAAAGAGGAGAGCCGGTAGTGGGGAGAGCCATGGGCGAAGGAGGGATGGTGGAAAAGAAGTTTTTATGTCAAGGTCGAATGGTGCTCACACACACACACACACACACACACACACACACACACACACACACACACACACACACACACACACACACACACACACACACACACACACACACACACGCTGCAGAAATGACCGTTACATTACATTTCAGTGTTTTAGGAGGTTTGTGTCAGAAATCCAGGTCAAGGGCTCAGCTTCATTCAAACGAGTCCCACGTGAACTCTGATCTCTGAGCAGCTCCATGGAAAAAGACGAGCTCCAGGATTATAACCGACTAAATGTGCTTAACCCGGTGTGCTGATGCCCAGCTGTGCTTTTACACGCCCCAGTGTACTCACCTGCGTGCTCCCTGCTTCTCTTTGTGTGTGTCCCATCTTCTTCCAAGGAACAGACGGGAGAAAAAACAAACAACGGCACTCACTACAAGCTTCAGCTCCTCTACAGCAATGGTGAGTGGCGGACAAACTCGACTTTATTGAGTGGAAGGATTGTTTTAGTGAAAAAAGTAAACTTTCTTCCTCAGAGCTCACCTGCATCTCATTTTCTGTTGTTTTTTTTAAATTTCTGCAAACTTTAAGGCTCTTTTTACAGGAAAAGTGAGTAAAATGTTGCCATATCAGATCCCCTCGTCCTCCTCTCCAACTCTCCATCCCCCCAGCCTACGTTCCTTCCACATCAGATCTGGGGATGCAGAGAAAATTTCTGTTTCCCATGAGCCACTGCTGCTCCTGCTCTGCCATCACGCTGGCACCCATGGGATGGAAGATAAAAGACGTGCTCTCCAGCAGCCCCCTCATTCACACGCAGACACACACACGTACATGCAAACACTCCAAAAGCACCCCAAGCCATTTCAAAGGCATCTGGATAGAGACTTTGATGAGAGGAACACATTTTAAACGCAGCATCCTCTCTTCTTGTCTCCAGAAACGTTTTGTTACATGTTGTTTCCTTCTGTGGAGTCTATAAAGCATTTAAAGGTTTAGGCGTTTTGGAAAAGCCTCACTAAGAGACTTAAAAGTTTGCAAAAAATCTTAAAAGACAAAACTAGTTTTACCTGTTGGTTCTATATGTTTTCCGGAGCAAATCCAGTAACAACCAGAAAAAGCACATCCTGATAAATCGTGAGAAAAATATTAAATTATGGCCTTACAGCAGGACACAAGTAATGTTTGTAAAACATCAAATAACTCTCAATCCCCTAGAAACCAATACGAAAAAAGAGAGCATGCCAATTCCACTGGATGGAGATCAAAACATTCGGAAATTGTTTTCTATCATAAATCTGCTCAGTTTATTTTGAGAATCCACATCTTAGAGAGTTTAAAGCAGATTTGGGAATTAAACGACTCCCTCTGACATATTATGTTGTTTTATCAAACATTTCCAAATCATAATGGGTGACATAGTTCTTGATTTATTATTGATTTATTTTCTGCATGATTCTAGCTTTAAGTAAACACCAGGGCCAAAATGATCCGCTTTCATTATGCGATTAAAATCTGTTGATAAAGTCTCTGATCGGACGTTTTTTTTTTGTTCAGGGGTTCGTACCGAGCAAGATCTGTACGCGCGGCTCATCGACTCCGTCACCAAGCAGGTTGGTAAACTTTCCTTAAACTCCCTAGATGGAATTCAAAGTTGGTCCCAGTAAAACCAGCTCATTTATTCTACGTGAAACTGAATCTGTCCCACTGGTCCTGGCTTCCTTCCCTCAGCCCATATCGTATGAGGGACAAAACAAGAATCCTGAAATGTGCAGAGTTCTGCTCACACACGAGGTTATGTGCAGGTGAGCGACACACACACACACACACACACTGATTGAAATCGTCGCCCACAGGGACCAAATCCAAATATCCATTACTCTCTTTCACTCTGTTATTCTTCGTCAGTTTGAAATGCGTTTTCGGTGTGACGCTCGGGGCTTTGGCTTTTCTGAAAACGCGCCTGTTGTTGGACTATGTCTGGCTTGTCTGTCATCATCCTTGTTACAGTGGTGCCCCCCACCCCAGCGTTCTGATGTAGCGCAGCATGTCATTCGTCCAGCTCCTGTTACTTCTTGGACCTCTTCTCATTCTGGCCCAAGATTCTTCATTCAGGCTTCAGCGAACAGCTAAAAACTGTTCAGGGGAACAATTTCCCATCAGCCTAATAAAATGAACTGTTCTCTTTTAGCCAAGGCAGCGTTTGTTAATGTAGAGTGACAGGTGTGGGTTTTAATGGAATGAAAAGTTGGGTACGTTTGTTTTTAGTGGAGTCAGGCTTGGGTTGTTATTGGGCGATGGAAGGGAATGAGTGAAGTGAAGGTCTGGTCTGAAAGTGAGGAAGTGACCTAGGGTTGGGAGGCAGCAGGGGCGAGGATGAAGACCCGGGACATGCGGAGAGGAACCGAGACGGGCCGGGTTCTGCCCATTGTGTAGTCAGCAGATGCCCGAATGTGACTCACAGCTGGCTAATAACAGAGCCGGGGAGGCAGAGGGCAAGCGTCACAGCTGGGGAGTGAGGCCGTCTGACAGGGGGGCGGAGGGGGGAAGGGCCGGGCCAAGCTGGGACACGGGAGGGCTGAGGCGAGGTGTAGGGGTGGCAGATGGTTAGGGGTGGGGGCACCTTTGTTATGCAGTGAAGGGGACTTTGGGAGAGGGGGGTGGCTGGCCAGCAGGCTCCTCGGACAGGACTGCTGACGAATGGTAAGGTAGTGGGACAGTGTGTATGTGTGTGTGTGTGTGAGTGTGTGTGTGAGCTGCATGGGGGTTGAGTTTGATTTCAGAATCAATGTGACAGATTGCCTGGCTGGCTTTTCACTTCTGAATGGTCTCTCACTGTTTGTAGGGTGTGTTGTTGTACCTTTTCTTCCTCTTTTTATTCCATTGTCTCGTCCTCCCCTCCCCTCTCATGCCTCCTTTGTGCGTTTCTGGATTTTGGCCGACCGCGGGGCAGAGTAGTCTGGGCTAGAAGCTTTGACAAATGTTGGGCTACTCCAGCTTAACGTTTTAGCCTCCAAACACTGACTTTCCCCCTCTTTTCTCTTGGTCTGTTTCCACCCCATCAGTCGCTGTTGTGAGAAGAAAAGTTGTGGCAATCGGAACGAGACCCCCTCCGATCCGGTCATCATCGACAGGTAATAAGATCCAACCACACTATGTTTATAACAACACAGACAAGCACTTCTCCACAAAAACAGAACGTTTGGACATCCCACCTGAAGCCTGACATAAACTAAGAGTCTTCCTTGGATCTGAAGCACAATCTTTCACTCCTCTGGTTGTAATAAATGTTCACCCTGACAGCCGGTTACCAGCTCTAATGGTGGATGACCACCTCTCTAATCAGCGTGTGTGAGAGTCTTCACGTCCACAGCTTCCTGGAGGTCTTCCAGTGTCTGCTTGGCATTACCCTGAGTGATGAACCGCTCACGAGCAGAGCATTCACGTGAAATAGTTTCTCTGTGATGTCACAGGTGCAACCTTCATCACCTCTTCCTCACTCACTCCCACCTTTCTGCTCCTCTTCTTCCCCACTATTGTCTGTCAAGGAAACACCCACTTCTTATACGTCAAGGGCCCTTTTCTCTCCGCTCCTCAGTTCAAGCTGGCTGGCTGTTGACAGTGAGTCTCGGAGGATCTCGGCTGAAGATGGTTTTCATACAACGAGAAAAAAAATTGGGCTGTTGTCTTTTGAATTTTCCCAGAATGCATCTCGCCAGCTGTTTTCCTCGTTTTTCGGAGGCACGTTACGCATAACTCCATCCACCTCGTGTTTTCATGCTTCTTCCTAACATGGCGGAGCATCTTGTGGTGTTTGTTGTTGGCGAGGACGGAGAAATGTTGGTGGCTCTAATCTCACTGAGCTTTTCCACCCTTGCTATAAAATCCTCTCCTGAGGGAACAGCCAATTAGCAGCCAGTTAATTTCTGATAAGCCAGTGGATTTCAGTGCGGCCCCCGTGCCCTTTCATCCAACTTCTTGGGATTTTTTTTTGCTTTTGCTAAATAAAGTGAAATGATTGGCAGGGCACAATGTGTGTGTGTCACCAGAGTGTTTGTGTGCGCAGGAAAAGATGTATGTTTTCAGTGTTTGTATCGGGATTCCTTATTTATGTATGTATAAAGATGTATGAGCGATTGCCTATGTGTCTCCGTGACCCTTCCTCTGACCTTTCCCCCAGTCACTGCTTGGAGCTTAAATTATTCATGTTCGTATGGATGTGTGTGTGTGTGTGTGTGTGTTTCAGTGGTTCCAATAATCAGCCTCCTGCTCCCAGCCCCAACACCTGTTCTCCAATTAACATGCAGCGTGCTGGGGGCCCACTGGCTCCAGTCGCCCAGCCACTGCTTTCCACCCCTTTATTCTTGATTCTCACACCCTCCTCTGCAGCCTCAGCGTGGATCTGCACCTCCACTCACCCTCTCTTGCTCTTTCCATTTGTTCTGTTTTCTTACTATTTTAACTCTCTATTTCCTAAATCCTCTTTTCTTTCTCCTTTCCCCAGTGTCTCACCCCCCCCCCACTCCCTATAGTCAGTCTAATTTTGTCATAATTAGGGGGTGTCATTAGGACACCTACCCAAGCACAAGGGAGTTTGCAAATCCCCAAACGGCCCAAACCCCCACTTTTCTAATCTCCTTTCCATATTGTTTCAGTTTTCTCCCCCCCACCACCTCTTTTCTCCTCTTGCTTGCTGCCTCCCCCCTCCTAATCCTGATTTGAGAGAAAAGAGAAAGAAGGGAGATCACAGCTGATCCATAGGGAAGGGTGGAGGGACGGAGGGTGGAGGGACGGAGGGATGAAGAGGGCAAAGGGGGCCGCTCACAAAGAGATGAGTCAAGTTGCTTATGAGAGCGTATTATCTAATGCCCCGCTGCCTGCTGTGTCTAATGGTTTTACATCTGTATGATCTTAACTCTGGTGAACTGCTCCATCCCCGTTTGCAGAAGGCCGCTTGTCTCTGACTGATGGAGTGACTCGGTCACTGATTGGTTTGATGATTGATCAGTGAAGAGAAGAAGGTTCATCATCCAACTCCTTCAGTCAAGCTCTTAATTCTAACTGGACCTTTGAGGCTGTAACAGAAAACACAAAATGCTCACAGCTACTTCAGAATTAACGTTAAATTTATAAATCAAATCAGCAGGTGGCCTTTCCCCCCAAGCTAAACTTAATATTTCTCGCCAGATTTAGCATTTCCTTGTGTCCTCTATATTAACCTGAGCAGATCTCTTTATGGCAACGTTATTACCACGCTGACCTCTGACCTCTGGGGAGCTATATTGGTTCTGGGCCAAATCTGGCCTCAGTATTTATGAGTAAACCACCGGTTTTACAATGGAGACAAGCAGATGTCAGTATTAGTCTATGTGGTTTTGGTGGAAGGGGGTCAGCTTTCAGTGTGTATGTGTGTGTGTGTGTGCTTTTAAATTTGGCTAAGAAGCAGAGATCAATAGCTGGTCATAAGGAGTGTGTGGAGGGATCTGTCGTAAGGCCTTGTGAGGGGCATTCGGGTGATCAATGGTAGGCACTATCTCACTAATTGATCGTGTTTCTAAGAGGTTTTTTTTAACAAGCCGGTGGTCAGAGAAAAGAAGAATAATCAATAAGAATTTTCCAATGCTATCAATAAGACCCTTCCTCCTCTAAGCTCAAAACGAACTCACACTGATCACTTTTAAATTCTGAGAAAAGCCAAAAACATCCAGGCATCGTTTCGTTGTGACTTTATTAAAATGTTGCGGTCTGAGTTGATCGTTTAGATGTTGATTAGTTGTCCTGAAAAAATGACTCGGCTCCAGCAGGAATCCATTTCTCTTGATCTCAGGTTGTGAGTGGTATTGATCGGTTTGTAGTTTTGGTTCTAGTTACGTGCGTCTACCACAGGTTCATCTGGTGTCCAACTAGTGAGCAGACTGTTTTAGTTGTCTTCCCTCACAAACCAGTAGGTAGGAAACTGCTTTAAATGAATCTCAATCAGAAAACAACAGAAGTTTAATGCATCATCTTGCTTTTATTTGCTAAAGTCTTCATATTCTCAAACCCAACCACACAGAAAGTGTGACAGCATATTCAGTATTCATTTGTCGCTTTCTGTCTAGTCTGTGATGTTGTCGTAAATCAGCCATTGCATCTGTTTAACAAATAAAATGATGCATAATGATGCGGGACTTTCACATGTTTCCTACCTGCCCTGACAGTACGCTACAGTTTCATCTTGTCCCACTAATGGTGGGGAGCAGCGGTTTCCTCATCCTCCCACTTGAGCCAAAAGAAAAAAGAAAGACTGCAAGAGTTTGGGAAAAGAACATTAAACTATCAGCCAGAGAATAAATGCAGCAACATTTTTTGGAGCGTGTCAGAGGTCGAATTCTTTCCCTCTCCCAGAAGCATACTCAAAATCAGCCGCCAACTCGTCCTGTTAGGTCGTCATAAATGCACTTTGGAGTTTTATGTGTGAGACAATAATGTCAACTCTGGAGAGTTTTCTCACACTCCTTGTGAAAGATTTCTAGACGGACGCTGCCCTGCTGGACACGTGTGATCATTTCCTGATTCATGAAGATTATTTGTCATCTGAAGGTTAATGAAGAGCTGGAGGAGCAGAGAGTCGAATTCTGGATTAATCATGTCAGAAAACACGACTCAGTGTAACAACAACAATAATCACAATAAGTAGGGATGTTTGATATTATCGGTCTTCCGTTAATAATCTAAAATGGTTTTGCTTTTCTTTTTTTATGAGGGGACGACAGATTACATCGGTATTGGTTATCGTGACATCATCTTGACATTCTTGTCCATGCCTTTGTGACGACTAGACTGGACTACTGGAACACCCTGTATGCGGGCGTCAGCCAGTCTTTACCTGCAGCTGCATCTTTTAACTGGTACTCACAAGGACGAGCATATTTCACTGATCCTATCAGCCCTTTATTAGTCAGGTACTGAATTGATTTGAAAATTTTGCCATTTGTTTTTAAAAGCCAAAATGGCCTTGCCTCACACTACCTGCTGGAGTTACTGACTTCACCTGTGACTGTGCGGTCTCTCCGATCAGCTGAACGTGGGCTACTCGTGGTTCCTCAGACCAAACGCAAAAGCAGAGGAGAAAGAGCTGTAATCAGTTCCAGGCTGTGGAGCAAGCTGCCTACAAAACACTTGTTGTGTTTAAATCTCGCCTGAAGACTGACCTTTTATCTTTGGCCTGCGATTGAAGTAGCTGGTTTCACCGTGACTTGTAGAGTTTCTTCCTTCCTTTTTACATGTTTTATTGTAAAGCCCTTTTGGTATTTTGGTTGGCTGATTTTATTAGATGCATAGATGCATGAATTAGTTCATATCGGCCGTTTAAATCAGGCATTTGGATTTGAAGAAGTAGAAGTTGTAGATGAGATTATGATAGAGCAGAGGAAGCGTTTTGTTACTGGAGATGTATTTAGACTTTTTTATGACTTGTGACTTTGTTTTCTTAAGGTGTAAGATACATGCTTATGACGTTCTCGGCACAAAATCCCTCTCACATAAATCATTTTCAGTACCTTCCAGAATGAGCCGTTTCAGGGCTCTGTCTCTTTACTAGGGTTTCACATTTGGGTTTCACACTCACTGCCGACTAACTGTCCGGCTGAAGTTCACGCCCACCTGTAGAATCAGCCAGCAGCGGCTTCCCGCATGCGCGATTCATCATCAGTCTGGATGCAGTTGCGTAAACATCTTCTCTGACTGCTGCTCGGAACCACTGCTCCAGTTGCGGCAACATGAGGACAGACTGATGTGAGGAGCACACAGCTAGAGAGTAGGAAGCTGTATTCTCAAAAATGAACACTGCTAATGTTTTGTTGACTAACACAAGGAAGACAACATGCACTTCTCCGCTCGTATTTAGCCCCGCCCATGTACTCAGAGACCTTGGCGTTCTCGAGAAGGCTGTGTGAACGACAGACATCCCGGTCTGAACAAAACCTGGCTACGTGGGGGGTCATCTGGCCAGGCCAGATGTGAAAACAAGCTGAAGGTGACCATGCCCACCCTCCCCAACTCAGGCTGCTATAAAGCCGGGCGTACACTGTGCGACTTTTTCACTTTTTTGAGCCGATTTTCCAGTCGTGCGAGAAGCCACGACATCGGGGCG